GAAGAATATGTAGCTATATCAGGAATTCTTCCAAATTCCATCCTTGTCCATTATTTTTATCTTTAATGAGCTGGTTAACAATAACAATATAAACGTAAGTTGTCTTCTTTATGCCGATGGCGTGAAAAAATAAAGTTCAGTTCCTAGGGTTAGTAACTACAGCTTCAACAAAACCTCGATGATATAAAATCTTCGTGTAGTAGTAATAGTGTAGCGAAAGTCGCCCTATTGTTCTTTGCTTGTGCTAAATAAAGGAAATTGGGTACAATATGTAATACTGTGACTTGTCCAACAAGTCCATCCGCATTATGTTGGATCACACATTGATAATGACGTTTTGTCACGACCAATAACGTTTCGAGACCTTAGCGTTGTATTTGATGAAAAATTATTAGTTAACATTAGCAGTTTTGTCCCTGAAGCTAATAACACAGAGCATATGGATTTATAGTGCGCAACTGTAGTAATTTCATAAGCATACAAGTCATAAAATTATATGCTTCTCCTTTATGATATCCGCACAATGATCGATGCAGCGCTGATTTTTTAAATTTTTAAGTTTAAAATCTAATTTCGGGACGGAAATATTTTTTTTCAAAACATTCTTTTTATGATTTTGCATAATTTGAAAAAATTATGTCTAAATTGTCTTTTTTTTCTATCCTTAGATTTGCCTCTATGACCAACGAGACATTTTATTTGCAGACTCCTTTTATTAATATACACAAATAATCCTCACTTCATGTAATTTGTAATGATAACCATAGACAATAATAACTGCAGTATGATCTCTGTATACATTTTTAACTGCAGCCGTAATATTCGTATACACATTCGCGAGAAAAATTATTTGCATTAAATTTTAAATTAGCATTCGCTACCGTATTCGCTCATTTTGTTGCGGATTTTTAGTGAATATAATGTAAACAAATGTAAAGAATTCGCAAGAATCTTTATGTTTAATTTGAAACAAATTTTACTTTGACAAAAACATAAAACTGGTGATATAACCAAAATAAGTTTTTCCTTTTGTTGTTTTGCACAAAATAATAATGGGTTGGGGAATAGATTATGTCCGTTTTAACTCTACAATTATTATCAATAGGCTAATCAGTGGTCCATCGTTATTTATGACCTCCCAACGTTCAACAAGTTTCTCGATGCCTCTTCTGTAGAAATCCTCCGGTTTTTACTCAGAAAACTCATCCAACCCACTCTTAACCCATTACCTTTGTTAAAAAATACTTCGAAATATTTAAAAAAATATGTTTTGACCTAGTCATACAGGATGTAGTATATAGGATTAAGTACATAAAAATATTTCAGAGATGATTATTTTAAGAAGAAAAGTTGGTATCAAACGACTTAGTTTCCGAGATACAGGATGTTAAGTTTTTGAAAAATATATTATTTACGAAAATAGGTATCGATAAGCTGAAATTAGCTCTATGAAATTTGTCTAGTGCCTATAGAGTCTTCAAACTCACGAAGACTTTTGATGTTACTGAGTATTTTCAAAATTCAATAGGCAAGTATTATTTCAATGAAAAAAGTCGCTTTCATGTTATTTAGAAAACGAACCATTTTCGGATGATTATTTTTTTTTTGAAACCTAAAATGGCGTGAGTACCACAAATTGGAGTAAATCGATAATAGCTAGAAAATGACTCGTTCCAAAGACGATTTTTTAATTTTGCTCTTAGAAAAATAAAAGTTTTTACTCTAATATACTTAAATGTGCAAAGCTACTTAAAAAAAAGTAACTAGAAAATGGTTCGTCTTCCTAAGAAAATGAAAAAAATCTATTCTTCGAAATACAAGTAGAAATCAAATGCTATAATCGTATTCCCAGTTTAAAATGATTAATATTGTACCTACCTATTTAATAGTTTATAAAAAAAAAACTGTTTTTACATTGTCGGATGTTATATTTAATAATTACACAGCCACACAGAAAAAAAAAGTTGGGTATACTTTTTATGCGACATATATTTTTCGTAGTAATTTGGCCTCCTGAACACGAATCTGGGGTCAGAATTGGCCCATCACGTCACAATTTTTTCCTAACCTCAAAAAACTTGTGAAAAATAGTGAAAATTGATGAAAATTTACTGGGAAAATTTGGAAAAAAATTTATTTCCACATCAAATAGTACATTTTTATGTAAAAGACTCTGCTGAATTCAAATCCACTGTCAGAATTGAGCTAGAACGTGTGGTTTTTTTTCTAACCTCAAAAAACCGAGCAGGAATCGCTATTTTCAAATTCTGAGCGGATTTTGACCAGATTTTGTATAAAGGGGTTTTTTGGGTCGCTGATTACGAATATGAATTCACATTGTAAAAATTCAAGATGGCTGATCCAATATGGCGGGTGTACTTTTTTGAAATCCACCGATTTCAGTAAAATTTGGCATCATAAGGATTGCTGGTTGATCTCACCTTCATTAATCACACATCTGGAGCCAGATTTTCATAAATCAAGGTAAAAGATGTAGGCAGAGTCATAATTTTAGGCCGAGTAGGCGGCATTTTTTCGGCAAAGTCACATTTTTAGATTGAAGGCATAAGCAGATGCAGTGATGTGCTGTGTGGCAGTAATGTGTCCTTTTCCTTGAACTTTAAAATTATTAAGAAATAAAAGCATCTAAATGCCATAGGAAAACTGCATAGTAGTTAAAAAAATCTGATTGGAAAACCATAAGCCCATGCACGACTAAATAAATGAAAGAATAAAGTAGAAACTTTTTTGTCTTGTCCCATGGAAACAAGCACATCACACTACACATCATTACATGTGTAGAGTCCTTAAGTCATTTTTTTAAGCGAAGTCACATTTTTAGACGGAGTGGAATCTTTTACCTTGATTTATGAAAATCTGGCTCCAGATGTGTGATTAATGAAGGTGAGATCAACCAGCAATCCTTATGATGCCAAATTTTACTGAAATCGGTGGATTTCAAAAAAGTACACCCGCCATATTGGATTAGCCATCTTGAATTTTTACAATGTGAATTCATATTCGTAATCAGCGACCCAAAAAACCCCTTTATACAAAATCTGGTCAAAATCCGCTCAGAATTTGAAAATAGCGATTCCTGCTCGGTTTTTTGAGGTTAGAAAAAAAACCACACGTTCTAGCTCAATTCTGACAGTGGATTTGAATTCAGCAGAGTCTTTTACATAAAAATGTACTATTTGATGTGGAAATAAATTTTTTTCCAAATTTTCCCAGTAAATTTTCATCAATTTTCACTTTTTTAACCTAACCTCAAAGTTTTTTGAGGTTAGGAAACAATTGTGACGTGATGGGCCAATTCTGACCCCAGATTCGTGTTCAGGAGGCCAAATTACTACGAAAAATATATGTCGCATAAAAAGTATACCCAACTTTTTTTTTCTGTGTGGCTGTGTTATTTATCATTCATTTAATTGCTCACGAAATTGTCACAATTTGCTATATTTGTGTTATATGTTAGAATAAACTTGACAATTTATTGGTGAAATTTAAATAAATTTAACATTTAGAATAAAAATCAATAACAGTTACATAAATAATAATAATTGACCCAATAATGAGGTCACAATTCTCTATATTTTTTGCATCTTTTTACTTGTTACATTAAGTTGACCAATTTATTGGCCAAACTTAGGGCTACTAACTTTTAGAATAAAAATGAATGTGAAACCACAAACAATAACACAACTTATATGCTAGAGTTACATAACTGCAATAACAAACGCGTATAAGCAACACATTCTTTAAATACCTAGGTATATGAAATAAATATAAGTTACAATATGGTAGAATATAACTAAAGTTGGTATTATTGAATGAATATTAAAAGTCATAATCAGTTTTATTGTCACTAATTTCTGGACCGATTTATTGGATAAAAATTAGCAATTTTATACTACATACATACCATTATAACTAATAGTGTAAAACGAGTTTTAGGAACAATAGCAATACAGACTATGGTAACTTATTTAACATTTTTTTGCCACTGACTTATTTTAATACGAATCAAGGCATAATATGGAAATTGTATCATTTTGTCAATCGACAGTTATAAACAATATTTAAGGTTTCTCGAAGAAATAAGAAATAACTCGATGAAAGAAAATTGTCAGATTTCGCAATATCTATTCCACGGCGGGAGAAAAATTTGCGGTTAAGAAAGGAACGTCCTAAATTGCAAAACAATTGATGATAAATTAACTTCTGAACAATGAAATGCATGGGTAAAACCGGCTACTTAATTATATCTGCATATGTATGTCACTAGAGTTATGATTTGTGTTGTAGCGGTTGACGCATATCTTATATATTCATGCATTTTTATATAACGTTATTCTTAATTGTAATTTTTATTATCGCGTATAAAGTTGAGGCGCAGTATGGTGCAAATGAGAAATCAAATTCTAAACTGCACTGTACATATTTTTATGAAATATGCTATATTCTAATTCTGATTTTAATTTTGTTTTATTTTTAATAATGGTTTTAATATGAGTTTGCCTAAATGATGCCAATAAATATAAAACGTAGGCTATCAACAAAAAAGGAGCTACAAATGTTTATCTATTTCAAGCAAAAAATGCCAAAAATAATGTTCCATTTAATTTTTTGTGTCAGTGCGAGTCAGTGATAAAGAGTTTTACTCTATGAGACCCGCATGTTATTTACGTTTAATTAAAATACATTTCAATTAAACAAAGTATAATTGTATTGATGAATCAGATTTATTATCGGTTTATATTTATTTCATTGAAAATAAAATTTATTACATTCTTGTAAATATTGCATCGCGATTTTTTCGTGATATCACTGGAATTCATAACAATGTAAAACCATAAACCTTTCACTATGTTAACAAAATTAAACGCCCCCACTTGAAATTAATACCGTCGTATATATTTGTTTTGTAAAAATAAGGTTTAGTATTTTCAATATAGACTTAAGATTTCATTATATTAATATTTTCCTTCTTGTTGCAGTTGGTCCTGTGCATTATGTGCCTAGACCAGGTTCCAATTTCCAAAAACGAACCAACATGAGTCAAAGGGATGAAGTACAAAAATTTGAGCAGGGCCGAATTAGGGTCCTGCAGGAAGAACGTCTACACATTCAGAAGAAAACGTTCACGAAATGGATGAACTCATTTTTACAAAAAGTAAGTGATACACATATTTTTTTAAAATATATTTTCCTCTAAATATATTATAATATGAAAAAAAAAATGAATGAATGATTAAGGATACCATTACAGAATGGCCAAAATTACTTTTTTGAAAATTGTAATGAGTACTTTATAGGAATTATTTTGGGAACTTTCGAAAAAAAAACATTTTATAGATTTTCGCAATAGATATCTCTAATATTATGTTTTTCAATACCTTCTTACCCTCGGTATGAATAATATGAAAAAACGATAGATACCTATATCAAAAAATATTAAAAATTTCTGTATGTATATATACTTGCAAACAATATACCAAATTGATATATTAAATATTATATAATAAAAAAATGTCATTGGCAGAAACAACTTTCTTTTCTTTTTAATAAATGTGCAACTTGAAATCAGATTATTCGGAATGCACGTATTTACTCCTCAAGGCCTAAAATTTAGTTTGAACCTTGTACTACATTTCATATAGGTAGGTATCTTATCATTAATATGAAGTGTCGTTTAAATCATGACTTCATTAAGGTCTTACACCACAATTTTTGCCTTAAAAAATTCCAAATGAATTTCTCTAACCTAGTAGCATTGACTTTTTGGATTTTCACTTTTTAAAATGGATTATAAAATATAAATTAATTATAATTACCGTGGGTAATCTAACTAATCATATTCTTGTGAGACCGAGATACTGCCAATTAGTAGTTATTTTTTCTTAAAGATAGACAATCTTTCTACAACAACCAGCAAATTATACATCAGAAAATGGAAATTAGTTTGTTTAATAGTCACCTTTTATAAAGAAATCATGATTACCTTTTAAGGATCACTGAAAAATATTAGGTATTTCTTGTGACTATAAACCCATATTGTCTCATTTTAAACTAAATTTAATAAAATATTAATTTGATTTATCTGTTATTAGTAGAACATTAATACAAAAAATAGAAAGTGCATTTATTTCTTCATAATTCAGTTTTACTTTTGCAATTTTTTAATGTAGATAATTAAATATATATTTTTAAAGAAAACTTGAGACCTTTTCTAATTTTATACAAAGAGAATTTTATTTTTACGAAGGGCATTATTTTGAGATTAAATCTGAAGTTTCCTGGACCTTGATAACCCCAACTCCAAATATTTTAAAAGGGAAGTAGAATCAGGTGATTACTCGTTTGAATTTTTTTTTTATTTGTTTCATTCTGCACCCAGTTAGCCATGTTCTCTCTTTGAAAATCCATCAAGTGAAAATATTCTTTAATTATTAAATTAAATGAAATAAGAAAAAGCAAATTTACGTATACGTATAGGGTGACCTATAGTAGCATGTTGCAATTTGCAAAGTATAAATTGGTAATAAGCATTGAAAATGATTAAAATTTTCTTGATAAACTTTAGGTCAGTTGGGCCTACTTGCATAGGTACGGCCCTGCAATGTCCTAAAATAAAAATTGAAATTTCTTAATTCTGAAACGGTTTCAAAAAAATTTTTGAAACTTCCTTACCATATTTTAGTGGTATTGCCGAAAATATAATATAATACAATAAATACCAGTGGGCAGTGACTATGAAGAAATAAGGTTTTTCATTCTGTAGTGCCATATTTATAAAAAAAATTAAAAAATAATAAATAGATTTTTTTTTAGTTAGGTACGATCTATTATTTTTCCAAGTAATAGTATTTTGTCAACAAAAGTACATTTTTAGTAAATGGTATGGTTTTCGATATAGTTACAATTTTCGATATATCTGCAGTAGAATATTAGATAACAAATTGTTTTATAAAGTTTGTTTTACTCAGGTTAAGAAACATGAATATCTACTTTTGATTAATTAGCTAAAAATTTGAATGGGTCAAGTTGAAAGATGTCATGATTCATGAAATCCAAAGTGTATTTACTTATAAAAATATCCCAGAAAAATAGCTTGCAACCTAAATAAAGTCTAATAGTTAAATTATGAGCAAATGTACTGCTGTTTTACTGCAAAAATTTCAGAAATTGCAAATATTTTGAAAACTACTTGCTATTATAAGTTTGCCACAGGTTTTTATTGTGAATTAAAGACTGCTATATCCAAGAAATATACAGAGTAGTTAAAAAACACCAGTTTATTATTTTTTATATAAGTATGAGAAATGGTACCTACCACTATTTTCACAAATACGCCACGGGTAATTGTATTTGTATCTGCTGTTTAAAGTTTTTATTTGAATCCACTTTTCAGAATTATTAAGATTTTTCAAATTTTATTTTAGAACTGCCGGGCCATAAGTAATTCTGTAAGTAACTAGGTCCAGTCAAAAGTTTATCGATATTGATATCAAAACGTGTTTCCTTCAAAATAAAAACTAACTGTTCTCAACGATTTTATAATAACTCACTCTACATAAAGTTATTAGGGGAGTCAAATTTTCGTTGGAACATACTGTATAAATATTGGTATTTATTTTCAGGCTCGGATGGAAGTAGAAGACCTATTTGTCGATTTAGCAGATGGCAGGAAGTTACTAAAACTTTTGGAAGTAATATCAGGTGAGAAATTAGCCAAACCTAACAATGGAAAGATGCGGGTACATAAAATTGAAAATGTCAATAAAAGTTTGGCATTTCTACATACCAAGGTTAGGCTAGAAAGTATAGGCGCAGAGGATATCGTTGATGGAAATCCTAGACTTATTTTAGGTCTAATTTGGACAATTATTTTAAGGTTTCAAATTCAAGAAATTGAAATTGACGTGGTAAGTTGGTAATTTTAATGCTTAAGAAGGAAAGAATTTATGAATGGATTTTTAGGATGAAGAAAATGAAAGTTCAGAAAAAAAATCAGCCAAAGATGCCTTGTTACTGTGGGCTCAACGTAAAACTCATGGTTACCCTGGTGTACACATAAATGACTTCTCATCTTCTTGGCGAAGTGGTTTGGGTTTCAATGCCCTTATCCATGCACACAGGCCTGACCTGTTTGACTATACTGGTTTACCAAATAATAAAAATATTGATAACTTAAACCATGCTTTCGATGTCGCTAATAATGAATTAGGTATACCTCGACTATTAGATGCTGAGGATATTGATACTTCTAGACCAGATGAAAAGAGTATTATGACTTACGTTGCTTCATATTATCACACATTTGCTCGCATGAAGAATGAGGAAAAATCAGGAAGACGTATTGCAAAAGTAAGTAATTAAATACTACATGTATAAATTATCTCTACTCTGAAATTTTTATTTTAGATTATAAATCAAATGGTGGAGTCAGACAAAATGAAAATTGATTATGACAGACTAACAACAGATTTACTTGACTGGATTAACCTGAAAATAGTAGAACTAGAAGATAGAAATTTCCCAAATGCATTAGAAGGTATTCAAAGCCTTCTTCTAGCTTTCGGATATTATAGAACCCAAGAAAAACCTCCGAAATATAAAGAACGGAGTGAAATTGAGGCATTATTTTTTAATATCAACACCCAGCTGAAAGAACTTAGACAGCCAGCATTTAACCCCACTGATGGAAAATTAGTACAGGATATAGAAAGAGCTTGGAATACACTGGAAAAAGCAGAACATAATCGTGAAGTTGCATTGAGGAGCGAATTACTGAGACAACAAAGACTAGAACAGCTAATGTACAAATTTGAAAAGAAGAGTATATTAAGAGAAGGTTACTTAAAAGAAATGATACAAGTTCTATCGGATCCTAGGTATGGATCAAATCTGGCCCAAGTGGATGCAACAGTAAAAAAACATGAAGCTATTAGTGCTGATATTTTGGCTAGAGAAGAACGTGTGCATGATTTGACGCAAATGGCGAATGAACTTGTTAACGAAAACTATCGCAACGCTGAAAGAGTTAAATCTAGAGAAGCAGAAATATTGAGACAATGGGAAGAACTGAAGAGACTGTTGGAAAAACACAAGGGTAATTTGGGTAGAATGGGCAATGTGATGTCAATTCTTCGTGAAATTGATACGACTCTTAACAGTATCGAGCAATTAAAGGCTGATATGTCCTCCCACGATACTGGTATACATTTAATGGGTGTCGAAGAATTGCTGCATAAACATGCTCTGCAAGAATTACAAGTTTCTGCCTTAGGAGAAACGGAACGAAAATTACACAGGCTAGGTGAGCAACTTGCTGCACAGAATCCAAAAGAAGAAGAAATTTTGAAGAAGAAACTGAACGATTTATCGAATGCCTATGCCCAATTAAAAGTAAGTTTTATGTAATTTGTTAAAACATAATCACTTTATATATTGTTTTAGGAGGCAAGTGCAAAAAGGAAAGCGGTCTTGGAAGAGGCGAGAAACTTTTATCAGTTTTTACAAGATCAAGAGGAAGAAGAGGCATGGTTAATAGAAAAACAAAGGATTTGTCAAGCTGGTATTACAGCCAAAGATTTACGAGGTGTTTTATCTCTACAACAGAAACATAAAGCACTAATGGGAGAGATTAAAGCCAGAAAACATAAATTTGATCAGTTAGGTCAAACCAGCAAGCAACTAATATCAGAAAAGCATCCAAGATCTGCTGAAATTCAGCAGCATATTGACAAAAATAAAAGAGAATGGGCTACCCTTGAAAAGTTAGCTGAGGAGAGAGCTAAACAACTGCAGGATGCAGCAGAAGCATATCAATTCTACGCTGATGCAAATGAAGCAGATTCTTGGTTGAACGAAAAGACCTCTATTCTTGCATCAAGTGATTATGGAACAGACGAACCAAGTGCCCAAGCTCTGTTTCAAAGACATAAAGACTTGGAGGGAGAATTAAATGCATATCATGGTGACATACACAGTCTAAATACACAAGCAGAAAGACTAATAGCAGCAGGAATTTCTCATTTGGATTTGAATGCTGAACCAGAAGTAGCTGAACCCGTTGAAGAAGTACAGTACGAATATAGGTAGGTATTGATTATTTGTGAAGTTACATTATCCTTGTTTTTACATGCTTATAATTAATAATAATGATTAATTAAACAAATATAATTTAAAACAATTGTTTTTAGGATGGTCCCCACAGAAGTTTGGGTTGACGAACCAGTAGAAAGAACAGAATACCGAACTATAGTTGAAGAAAAGAAAGTGCCACAAGTGAGAGCACTATATCCATTCAACGACCATGGCCTGAGCATGGTCAAAGGAGAAGTCATGTTCTTACTTAATAAAAGCAATCCTGATTGGTGGTGTGTTCGTAAAGCGGACGGGAAGGACGGATTTGCTCCTGCGAATTATGTTGCAGAAATAGAACCAAGAATTATACATATAAATGTTAGAAAACCCGAAACAGTGAAGGGCATTCAAAGGGTTAAAAAAACAAAGATGGTTAAAACTAAAATACCTATTACCTTTGGTAGACAACCTACCAAACCAATTAAAAGGAAAGTCGATGATAGTGATAGCGTGCCGAAGAGACAGAAAAAAATAAATGACACATATAATCAATTGATAGATCTGGCAGCTAAAAGACGTGCTCTATTAGAAGATGCCATCAAATTGTTTACATTTTACCGGGAGTGTGACGATTTTGAAAAATGGATTAAAGATAAGGAAAAAATTTTGTCTTTGGATGATCCCAATGACAATGTCGATCAAGCTAAAAGAAAATATGAGGTAAGTTTACAGAATACGACTCGGTGTGTACTTCATTTTGTTGTACACTATTTCATGAACATAGCATTTAATTATAAGCTTGAATAATTCACATTTTTTTATACAGTACCTAAATAATTGAATTAGTGCTAGGTCGCAGATTATTTGTACTTAAATTATGTATATGGTTGTTATAGCACGATAGATCAATAACTATTTTTGAGGTCTGATCAGATATTAAAGGCTCGGTCAAACAGGAGGCAAACTGTACATTCTATTATGGAGTAAAGGTTACTAACAAATATATTTGTAGCCTTGTATTTTGAGCAGAGAACTCCCTAGAAATGTTTCTATTAGTTTTGGACCAAGCTGGCTAATAAATACTCCACACTCAGCATGTCTCCTTACGTGTAAATTTCAGATACTTGTGACAGCAACTCACATATGAAATACTACATTTCACTCTATGCTAGCGGTCTTCAAACTTTTACGACTTGCGGAACTCCACTAACACTTCAATTTTTTTGAGAAACCCCCACACCCAAAAAAATTTTTCGAATGCATTTTTTACTGATTATTCAATATATTTATAAATACTACGATTAACAAAATAAATATTAAAAAAAATATAAAATTTAAAGTAAATATTTATTAAATAATTAAAAAAAGAGTAAATATAATCAAAGACTGGGATGCGCTTGAATATTTTTACATAATATGGTAAAACCAGGTACTATTGTCGTAAGTTGCAATCACATTTCAAATTCTGTATTAAGCGCATTGCGATACTTTGATTTTGTCACTAAACATGTCAGTAGATAAACACCCAGACATTCATCATCGGTTGTCTTACCTATGGCAGGTACTAATGATAATTAATAAGATTGAAACTAATGTGCTTGGTGATGCTGCTAAGAATTGTTCATCAGTATAGCTGCTTACTAGATATTTGGGGTGTAATTCAATGCCGAACAGGGTATGTAACCCATTAGTCATTATAGCCTGGAAGCCAGCGACCTTTTTTCAAGCAAAAGCTGAAAATTTTTCCTACGCTTCATTTGGTGTCACTAGTAAGAGAATCGCCCTTTAGCTCGCGCACTTCGGGGGGGTATACTTATAGTTGCGGCAGCCTCCCAAACACGAAAAATAGTCGTTAGAAAAAACTAATACTGCAAAAGCTGAGACTTTGTCGACGTTGATTATGTTATAAACAAACGAAAAAACGCAACCAGCTGACTTTAGAGTGGGGGGTTATGCTTCAGCTTTTCACCAAAACAAGTCAAAAATATGCGCTAGGTAGACTGATACCAAAAAAGCTGAAATTTGGTAAAGTAATAGTCATCTTAATCAGTTATACGAAAAAAATTGTCCGCTGAAGTTTTTGCAGTGTATAAGTGCTCAGCTGAAGAGTTGGAGGTGCAATACATCGTTATGCGTGCGAGCGCGTTCTTTATAAGCTGAGCACTTTTCCTTCACTAAATATAAAGCTGAGCATTTTTTTCATTTAACTTACTAAGTTAGCTATTGTATTACCAAATTTCAGCTTGTGCGGTATGAGATATGTATTATTTTTTCATTTTTTAAGTTTTACTAGTAATTGCACTGGCAATGTCGATGGATAATGGGCGTTTGTCCGCATTTTTTCAAGTGTAGCCCCCTTCCGCACAGCCTTTGGCTTTGGATTTGGGGGTTGTCTCATTTCTGTGGTGTGTTTTATGTTTTATGTTTAATTATATAAAAATATACAACTTTTTTCGAAATTTATTTACAATAAACGTTATATGTGAAAAAATCTATTATTTTCATTTTCCGATTCATCACACTCAAACTCATGGTCGCTGGAGTCAATGTCGATTCCTGCCATTTCTTCCTCATCACACGCTGTTTGTAAATAAGTGCGAAATATTTTATGGGGTGGTTGCCGAAGTTATTTTGTGAAAAAAAATTCATATAAACATAGCTCGAAATATCCTTCGTTTTCAAGATACAGTGTTTAAACTTTAATTTTTTATCTATTTTTATTAATTATTTCAAATAGTTTTAAAGATATTGACACGAAATTTGTTGATTGCATTTTATTTTGATATATTGTCAGCAACCTACTAGATCTAATGTATCAATAGAAATTAAAAATACACAACTTGTAATAAAATATTATTTTATTTTTTTCCTTAAAACGATACATTCTACGAAAAAAAATTGAAGGGACTAATTTCATTCAGAATTGATGGCGAATTTCTGAAAAAATATCAAAATGGGAAAAAGTCAGTGGCGTGTCATTTTTGTTTAGCAAGTAGAAATATTCGGATCATCCCAAAATTTACACATTTATCCCTCCAAAGTGTTTTGCAAATTTCGAGTCAATATCTTTAAAAGTTTTTGAAATAATTAATAAAAAATTTAAATTTAAACACTGTATCTCGGAAACGAAGCATATTTCGAACTACGTTTATATGAACCTTTTTCACAAAATAACTTCGGCAACCACCCCCAAAATATTTCGCACTTATTTACAAACACCCTGTATAATAATGATAATAATAATAACTATTATTATAATTATATATCATTAATAAAATGTTAATTATAAAAAATAATTACATATAGTACGAATTTTTTTAAATATTTTTTAAATTGTATTTTACATATGTAAATGAAATAATAAAAAATGTACACTTAAATAATAAAATTTTAGTACCTATAGAGCAAAATATAGTATAATTCTAACCTGCACTATTTTTTTTGCTCATCCTCTATAATTATATCTCCAAGGGAAGAGGGCAGCTGTTCACTCTCGAACCATTTGAAATAGTACATTGTGTAACGAGTGGAGAAAAGTTGCCAATAGCGCCATTCGGATGCAGTTGACTATGAAAATAACATCACGCTGTTGTACTATCTAGCACTTTCCGTGCACCTAACCCCCTACACTAGGGGTCGGCAAGTAATTATAGGTGGGGTCCGGTTATTTTTGAAAATTTTTAACGAGGTCCAGAAAAAAATTCATATTTCTTATCTTTTTATTTTAATTTAATCTGCTTACTAACCATTAAGAACTCACACACTCACACAATTGAAAAATACTAGAAAAAAATGATAAGATTGGCACTTAAACGTAAAAAATATTTTTTAAATAATTTATTTGAGTAATTTATACTTCCAAAAAATTTTTGGCGGTCCAGTATTTTACCTTCCGCGGTCCGGACCTGGACCGCGGTACGCCAGTTGCCGACCCTTGCCCTACACTATAGGTCCCATAGCGAGCGCGCGTATAGCGATGTTCTGCGCCTTCAACTCGTCAACTGAACACTTATACACCGCAAAAATTTCAGCAGACAATTTTTTTCGTATAACTGGTTAAGTTGACTATCACTTTACCAAATTTCAGCTTTTTCGGTATCAGTCTACCTAGCGCATATTTTTGACTTGTTTAGGTGAAAAGCTGAGGCATAACCCCCCCACTCTAAAGTCAGCTGATTGCGTTTTTTCTTTTTTTTTATAATATAATTAACTTGTCGACAAAGTCTCAGCTTTTGCGGTATTAGTTTTTTTATTTTATTATTTTACGTGTTTGGGAGGCTGCTGCTGCTACACTCCCCGGAACTGCGCGAGCTGGAGGTCGATTTACTTACTAGTGATACCAAATGAAACGTAGGAAAAATGTTCAGCTTTTGCCAAATGACTAACTCAAAACGGTCGCTGGCTCCCGGGCTATTAGACAAAAAGTTTATTTTGTCTAATGCGAAACAAATCTCTCTGCCAGTAGGTACAAAATAGCACTTTGTGCCAGCAGGCATTCAGGAGCAAATACATTTAAGATATGGCACACTTAACTCTATCAAGAAAGTAAAACATATAATTTTTTGTCTTTATCTTGAAAAATTTTTTGTATAAATATCATGAGACATGCCATTTAAAAAATAAATTTGAGTTATAACTCAAAAACTAGAATATACAGGGCTGGAAAATTCATATGGTCCATTTGCCTTTACATGAGAGCGACAAAGTAAAGTAAAGAAATCTGTGCGATAGACAAGGATGGCTATAGTGAAGACTTTTCATAATCTGTATAGTCACCGCCCGTTTCAGGTTAGAACTATTCAGATTATGAAACGCTGTATATAAAAATATTGCAGTCGCTCTATTTAAGTAAAAACAAAAATTTTAAAAAAATGAGACATTTTCAAAAATAGATAGAATAGAGTTTTGCCATTCAATATATCTTGAAAATAGAACGCAAGACATTTTGACTACTTTTTGTCTAATTTTAAATTTTTTTAATAATGATTTTTTTGCTTTCTTGTCATGTAATAATACACTGCGAAATAGAGTAAATCTTGGTGAACAGTGTGGAAACCATTCATATTTGTATTGTCTTTAAACTATTACATTTATGCAAAAGAATATTTTTTTATTTTTAGAAATTTGTTACGGACCTTTCCGCAAGTAACAAGCGTATGGAACAATTAGATGCAGATGCGGAAGAATTTGAAAAACAGAACCATTCCCAAATTGATAAAGTAAGAGCTAGACATCGACAAGTTCAAGCTGCCTGGCGCAGGTTAAATAAACTAAAGGCATTAAAAGAAAAAAGCCTGGAAGGTGCTAGTAGTGTGGAATTATTCAACAAATTATGCGAAGAAGCGAAAGACTGGATGCTAGAAAAGATGATGCAATTAGATGCAGCTGTATTAGGCCACGATTTAAAAACTGTACAGGCTCTACAGAGAAGACACGACAACTTAGAAAGAGAACTTGCTCCAGTCGAAGAAAAAGTAAATAAAGTAAATCTTTTAGCAAACTCCGTAAAGTCTGCTTATCCAAATGAGAGACAAAATGTGGCTCGTAAACAGAAAGAAATCGATGATTTATGGCAACAAGTTAAAGATAAAGCTACAGAACGTCGTGCTAGGTTGGAAGATGCTGTAGGTCAACAAATATTCACTAACAGTGCCAGGCATTTACTGAGGTGGGTTGCTGATGTTAAAGATCAACTTAATGCTGATAATATGGTTAGAGATGTACAGACTGCTCAAGCTCTGCTAAAGAACCACCAAGATCTTGCACACGATATCAAATCAAAAGATGACGAGTATGTATTACATTTGAATTTTAAAAGCACTGTGGTTGCTAATCTAATTGTTTTACAGATTCAAACAAATAATTGCTCTTGGAAATAAACTCTTGAAATCAAATCCAGGATTAAACGATGTAAAAGACAACATTGAAAGGTTGATAGCAGAACAGGCTGCCATTGCAAGGGGATGGAAAGAAAAGCAACATTGGCTGCAGCAGTGCTTGCAATTGCAACTATTTAACAAAGAAGCTGACAATATCGATGCTGTTACTTCAGCTCATGAAGCTTTCTTAGAATTTTCAGATCTAGGGGTAAGTCCCAGGGTCTCTACTTAATAACTAAATGTTTTATGTGGATCTTTTATGTAATATTAATATTTTAGAATTCCTTGGATGAAGTTGAAGCTTTGCAAAAACAACACAGAGCTTTTGCTAACACTTTGTCAGCTCAAGACGAAGGTCTAAGCGCATTTAGTAAGAAAGCAGATGCTTTAATTGCCGATCAACATTATGACAGTCAAGGGTAAATTAACTTTTTAATGTAGTTTCAATTTAATAACATACAAATAAGAAATTATTAAATCTGATATCACTGAGTATTTTGGAAATTTGATTACAACTCATAACTGCTAACGGTATATAAAAGGAAATGTTTTTTACTTTCATAAAAAAGGGTCATTTTCAAGTTATTGCTTTTTTATAATTTTGACACGCTTAAATAAATATATAATAACAGTTTATTGAATTTTTTCCCTCTAAATATGAAAAAACAATTGCTTTGGAGATTTACCACCTTTTTCTACATTCTGTACTACCCCTAAAACATGCAACATTATTCTCTTTGAAAAATGGTGTTTTTGAATAAAATAAAATAAATTTTTCCTCTTAGAAACACCACTTAAAAATCAACGTTCGAATTTACAAAATTTCCAGTGGTGTCAAATTTCAGCGACAGTAACTCCCTATATCTCTGATTGACAGATTTAGATCTCTTTACCTATAAATAAATTTTTATACTAATTTTGTGTTTGGCCAAATAATTTGAAACGTCCTGTATAATGTATATATTCTCTTTAGAATTGAGGACAAACGCAACCAAGTATTACACAGACGACAGGCAGTTAAAGCTGCTTCCCAGCAAAGAGCCAATGTTCTAGATGCTTCCAAGAACTTTCAAGAATTTTGTGCAGAGGTTCACGATCTCCGAGTTTGGATGACAGAAAAGCTAAAAACCGCATCAGACGAAAGCTATCGTGATTTAACCAATCTTGAAAGGAAACTACAAAAACATGAAGCGTTTGAAAGAGAACTGAGAGCAAATGAGGGCCAGCTGAGAACTGTCAACAAGTTGGGAATGGCTCTAATAGCCCAAGACAGCTATCGCAAGAAAGATGTAGAACAAACTTTGAAGGAATTAAACAATGAATGGCAAAATCTCGTTGACATTTCGTTAGAAAAGGGAAGACGATTGAGACAAGCAGTTACTCAGCATGGCTACAACACTTCCATTGAAGATGTAAATACAAGATTAGATGAAATAGACGAAAGTCTAAGAAGTACGAATGTTGGTACTGATTTGAGATCGTGTAAACAGTTGCTTAAGAGACACGATGTTTTAGAAAATGAATTGAGTCAGTGCGCTAATCGTGTTGACGATCTTGTGGGACAAAGCAATAATCTAAGTGACGAGGGGCATTTCGATTCTGATGGTATAAAAAGGAATGTTTTAGCCAGCCATCAGAGACTGAACGACTTGTATAAGCCTGCACAAAAAAGAAGAGAAGATCTAGAAGAGGCACTCGAGTTTTATAAATTTAACTTTGAGTTAGATGCAGAACTGCAGTGGATAAAAGAACATTTACCTCTTGCGTCTTCAGACGAATTGGGACAAAACTTGCATCAAGCGCAAAATTTACACAAGAAACATAAGAAATTGGAAGCCGAAATTGTCGGACATCAGCCAGTTATAGATAAAACTTTAGACATTGGTCATAATTTGATTGATCAGAACCATCCTGAAAAACAGAAGGTAACCAATTTATTCGCAACAATAAATATTCTCATTAACCATGTATTCCTTATTAGATTCAACAACTTTGTAATACACTTCGTGCAGCATGGGCGGACCTCGAAGAAAAAGCTAACCAACGCGCCCTGAAACTTGACCTCTCGCTTAAAGCTCAACAGTACTTCTTTGAAGCAAATGAAGTCGAGTCTTGGTTGAATGAGAGGGGAGATATTTTGGCCAGCTCTGATTATGGACGAGATAGAGATTCAGCTACAAAACTTCTAACGAAACACAAGGTAAGCCTTATCCAAGATATCCAAATACTATGTCTTGTGAATATCGAAAAGGGTTAAAGGTACAGGACAACTCAAATTAGAAACAAGTTGCACTTTTAGGAAATAGATATCAGACTTTTTTTTAGTTTTGGGGAAATTTTGAGAATAACAAATTTTTGTTTTATGTTTGATTAATTATATTTATAATTTTCTAGGGTTTGGAATTGGAATTAGATACCTACAATAATATAATATCTGAAATGGGCCACGGTGCCCAAGCTATGATTAAATCAGGACATCCAGATTCTAAATTAATTGCTGAAAGACAATCCAGCTTAGAACACCTTGTCAGATTGCTGCAAAGGAAAGCGGCTATTAGACAACATCGCTTAATGGAATCTCTCTTCCGCCATGAATACTTTGTGGAATCTGAAGAATTAGAAAGGTGGATTGCTGACAATCTTCAGCAAGCCTCGTCTGAAGATTACGGTCAAGACTATGAACATTTAATTGTAAGTATTGATTTTTTATCGAGCGTTCTGATCGAGAGAAAAATGAAAATTAAAGTAAATGTGTTTATTCTAGCTACTGAAGGCCAAATTTGACGATTTCAAACACAGGATTGAGGCGGGATCAGAGAGATATAAACAGTGTGAAGATTTAGCACAGAAACTGATTTCAAATGACAGCCCATACAGCTCTGATATCCAGAAGAAACAACTTCAGTTAGAGTAAGTAATTCAGTAAATAGAGCTTGGGATGGTGGTTGAATTAGTACAAATTTTTTAAATCAATTTGGTGGTGGTCTAGATTGTCTATAACATACATTTAATAAATTACTGTTCCTTCACAGATTAATGCTAAAAAAAGTAGTAATTGAGTTAAAACATTTCTTAATAAGCATATTGATATTAAAAATTTTATTTACTCATTATTTATTTAAATTAAAACTTGCAACTTTGTATGAAATTGGTCCACAAATACTTCGTTTTTGAGTAAAGGATTTGAGTACTTTTTTGTTTAGATGATTTTGCTTATTTTACACATTTCTTTTTACACTCTTTTTGAGAACCAAGAGAATTAATAACGCAGGCCGACAATTTTCAGAACCAGAAACCGGACCTAGTGTACCCGAAGGATTTTGGTGCGCTGATTATGAATCCGAGCTCAGAATTGGCCCATCACCCTTGATTCTCGAGGTATTCTAACCTAAAAGTGCAAAAATCGCGGTTTTTCGCTATATTCGGGATCAGATTACAACATGAATTAATTTTTTTTCTAAAATCGCATTAAACCATCTCAAAGTATCACCCTTACCCTTCTAAGCACACGATTTTTTTTAAGATCTTTTTTCCATAGAAATTTGTCCAAAAACGAGATATAAAGTACTTATATGTTTCTTGAGTCGCTGAATTTGAAAACACCATCAGATCTGCTCCATAAGCTCAATATTTCAATATTTTCTAACCTAAAATTGCGAAAATACTACTAAATGAAGCAGATACTTATGTATACACGCTGCTACATTCGGACGCTAAGCTCATGGTCATCATAATGCGCAATAACCTTTGAGCGCTAAACCCGCGACAGGTAAACCTAAGTAAGCTATAACCTGCGATGCTAAATTCAAGACAGGTAAACCTAACTGTGCAATAACCAGTGAGGGCTAAATTCACGACAGGTTAACCTAAATACTCAGTAACCTGCGAGCGCTGAACCCACTAGAGGTTAACTTTAGTGCACTATTTAGTCCTTGCTGGTTATTGCACATTTAGGTTTACCCATCGTGGGTCTAGCCCTCGATGGTTATTGCGCATTTAGGTTTACCTGTCGTGGGTTTAGCCCTCACTGGTTATTGCACATTTAGGTTTACCTGTCGTGGGTTTCGTGTCGCAGGTTATTGCGTATTTAGGTTTACCTGTCGCGGGTTTAGCGCTCGCAGGTTATTTCGCATTTAGGTTAACGTGTCGTAGGTTATAGCGCATTATGATGAACCTGTCATGTAGTGGTGGTTTTACCATAAGAGCTGCGGAGCTGCAGAACACATACAATTTTATGTATTTAATCATATCAAATAGCAACAAATTATTTAAAGAATCCAAATGTACTTGCGCTAAAATAAATCTAGGAGCTTATATTATTATTTATTAGAACGCGAGCTACGCTCCTTAATATATGTAACTGTTAAATAATAATAATCGTATGAAAAGTTTAGTTACTCTTGAAAAACAAAAAGTCTGACAGATTATTATTATGATGTTTGTTTTCCTGTTGTAGTTACAAGAAGTTGTCAATAAAGTATAAACGTATTCGTTTAAGGAAATCATTTTACTTTAAGAAGTTTTTCCTCTAATATAAATTCAAAAGGTTATGGGCCCAGAAGAAATCTTGCTGGAGAAATACTGAAAACGTGTCAAGTGAGAGATAGAGTGCAGAAAACTGAGATTGGAAGAAAGTGTTTAAAAATAAAGAAAATCATGGCGGGATTCAACAGTGTTACAGTGCCTATATTAGAGGCAAATAATTTTAACAACTGGCATTTTAGAATAGTGGCCATATTAAAAAGGGAAATGTGCAATGAAGCCTTGGAAGGACCACCAGGAGATAATGCAACAACTGAAGTAAGAAGCAGATTTAATAAAGCTGATGCAAGAGCACAGAGTATTATAGTACAAGGTGTGTCTGATAAGCATCTAGATATAATTAAAGATTGTGAATATGCAAAAGATCAAATAGCAGCTTTAAAAGGCGTATTTGTCAGATCCAGTTCGTTTACAAAACTATCTTTGTGGAGAAAGTTACTCAGTTTAAAGCTTGGGATAAATGAAAAGTTGGAAGACCATTTCTTGACATTTGACACAATAATAAGAGAGCTAAAGGATCTTGGTTCAAATATTGATGAAGGTGACAAAGTGTGTCATTTGTTACTATCTTTACCGTCGAAATACGACTCAGCAGTGACAGCGTTAGAGACAGTACCAGATGTCAAATGGGATTTTGTGAAAGCTAGGCTATTAGACGAAGAAATTAAGTTCAAGTCACGTGAAGAGAGTAAGAAAGAAGGAAGTAATGAAGTAAGCTTTAAGGCAACGACAAAGAGGTGCTATACATGTGGCAGTCAATATCATTTTCGGGCACAGTGCCCAGAACATTCCCAAAAAGACAAAGACACAAATAGAGGCACATACAGAGGAAAAAGAGGACATTTTAGAGGTAGAAGTCATCATTATATAAGGAACAGAAGTTACGTAAATCAAAATGATGAAAATATAATAAATACGAAACATGAAGCTCACACAGTTGAAGAACCAATAGTGTTATATGCAGGAAACATATGTAATGAAATGGAAGGAAAAATTAGATTCGTTTTAGACTCTGGAGCAAGTAATCATTTTGTACAAGAGTATCTAGAGAAAAATATGTATGATATCAAAATACTACCTAACTATGTGTCAATTAACATCGCAAACGGTGAAACCTTGAAGGCAAACAAATCAGGTACATTAAAAGTTAAATGTCAGGGACAAAATATAAATATTGAAGCTTTAATTGTTCCAAATATAAAACATAATCTTCTTTCTGCATCAAAAATGACGGCTAAAGGCCATAAGATAACAGTTGAGAAAGATAAAACTACAATTAGTGGTAAAAATTTTGTCTTAATTTGTGAAAAATATAATGGATTGTATTTATTAAACGTCGACAGTATAACAAGTCAAAACGAGAATTGCAGTGTTGCAGTAAATGAAGATATTTGGCATAGAAGGCTAGGTCATGCTGGAAAAGACGCTTTACTACAGCTTGGAATTAAATCGTCTGAGAAAATATGCTCAACTTGTGTAGAAGGAAAGGCCATACGATCTCCGTTCGCAAGCAATGAAAGAATTTCACACGGTATTGGTGAACTGATACATAGTGATATGTGTGGGCCGATAACACCTAACACATTTGATGGAGGTAAATACTTCCAAATAATTTTAGATGACTACTCACATTTTGTAGTTGTCAAGATCTTAAAAGCCAAAGATGAAGCGGAAAATAACTTGATAGAATATGTTCAAGAATTAGAGAGACAATATGATACAAAAGTGAAAAGATTTAGACTAGATAACGGTGGAGAATTTATATCGAATAACTTTAAAGAATTTTGTAAACGGAAAGGTATAAAATTAGAGTATACGATGCCTTATAGTCCCCAATCTAATGGCAAATCGGAGAGAATGAATCGAACACTATTAAACATGTTAAGAACAAAAATTATAGATTCTGGCATTCCAAAAGAATTGTGGGGTGAAGCTCTTAAATGTTCTACATACGAATTAAATAGAACACCTACATCGGCATTATGCAGAGGACAAACTCCATCAAAATTATGGAATGGAAGAAATGATCTCAGTAAACTGAAGATATTTGGTTGTCATGCATGGTATACTCTAGTACCAAAGGGTAACAAGATTGATCCAAAAGCGATAAAAGCAGTTATGATAGGATATTGTGGTGGAGGCTATAGACTATGGTTGCCAAATGAAGGACAGGTTATCAGAAGCCGAGACGTACGATTCGATGAGATTGTTATGGAATACAAAGTGAACAAAGAAAGTAGCCATATAGAAAATAGCTATATACCCGGAGAAGAGAGCAGAAGTATAGTTGAAGTGGAAAAAGACCAAGAAATGACAGAAGAAGAAGAAAAGGGAAGTGACCAAAACCAAAGTTTGAGTGAAGATGAAAATTATATACCAATGGTTGACACTACAACTAGATCAGGAAGAAATATAAAAATACCAAAAAAGTTAGATGATTATGAAATATATTCAGCTTATTGTTTACTCTCAACATCAGAAGAAGAACCAAAAACATATAAAGAAGCAAGTAAATCTGAAGAATGGCGACAAGCGATAAGTAAAGAATTAAATTCACATGAAGAATTACAAACGTGGACTCCAGTAGAGTTACCTAAAGGTCAAAAATCGATAGAAACAAGATGGATTTTTAAAATAAAGGATGGTACGAAAAAAGCACGATTAGTTGCTAAAGGCTTCCAAGTACCTAATGCTGGAGAAGAATTCAGTTATGCTCCGGTATGTAGAATTCCAACTATAAGAGTTTTAATCTCCGTTTCTGTGCAAAAGAATTGGAGTTTAAAACAGATAGATGTACCAACAGCATTTTTAAATGGTTTACTAGATAATGATGTTTACATTAAGAGACCTGAAGGTTTAAATAGTGAATCAAATTACTTAAAATTAAACCGTGCTTTATATGGTTTACGAAATGCACCAAAATGTTGGAATATGAAATTTAATGAAGTGATGACAAATTTGAAATTTAAGAGATCTGAATACGACTATTGTTTATATATAAAAGACAATGTTTACTTAGTGTTGTTTGTGGACGATGCATTGATAACTGGTCCTGATGATCAAGTCAAACAACTACTGAAAAATCTATATAACGAGTTCAAAATTAAAAACATGTCAAAAGTGACAAAATTTTTAGGAATGGAGATAAACGAAACTGAAAATGGAATAAAAATTTGTGAAACAAAATTGATTTCACGTTTATTGAAAGAATTTGTTATGGAGGAAAGTCGTTCTATAGCTACACCAATGGAACAGAATTTTCAAATAAATGAAGATGAATCAATAGAGCAGAATATTCCATATAGAAGACTGATATGTAGTTTAATGTATCTATCAATTATGACTAGACCAGATATTGCTTTTAGTGTTTCATACTTAAGCCGATATTTGGACAAACCGACCAAGCAAACCTGGAACGCTGGTAAGAGAATACTTCGTTATATGTGTTCAACAAAAGATTTTGGATTGATGTACAAAAAAGGGGCAAGTGTTTTAGAAGGTATGTGTGATGCAGACTGGGGAGGTGATCGACAAACTAGAAAAAGTGTAAGCGGTTTGTGTGTTTTCATGCCTCTAATCCAATCGCCTGGTATTCTCGAAAGCAGAACTGTGTAGCCCTATCTTCGATGGAGGCCGAGTATATATCAGCGGGATCAGCAGCTCAAGAACTTATTAATTTAAAAGGGATTTTATACGAGTTCGGTGAATGTGAACCAGTTACATTGAATATTGACAATCTTAGTGCAATTTCAATGATTAAGAATTTTGAAAACTCAAAGCGAAGTAAACATATCGAAATAAAATACCATTTCATTAAACATCTTCATGCAAATAAAGAATTACTATTTAAATACGTTAGTTCTAATGAAAATTGTGCCGATATATTTACTAAGGCTTTGGGAAAAGAAAAATTCTACAAGTTTAGGCGAAGTTTGTTAAGCGAGTGATTTAGTAATAATGTGTTTGACATGTCCATGTTTTAGCAATTGTATGTATTATGTTTATTTATGGTGATAATACATTTCAATTGAGGGCCGGTGTTAAATAATAATAATCGTATGAAAAGTTTAGTTACTCTTGAAAAACAAAAAGTCTGACAGATTATTATTATGATGTTTGTTTTCCTGTTGTAGTTACAAGAAGTTGTCAATAAAGTATAAACGTATTCGTTTAAGGAAATCATTTTACTTTAAGAAGTTTTTCCTCTAATATAAATTCAAAAGTAACCTCATATACAAAATGTGTGCACAGCGAACGATTAGATGCGTCTTTTGTTTTTATTGGCTAATCAGGCATGTGACCCAGTACACTTTTATATGGGGTTTTGTGGCTGCAACAACGACAGCCACGGCTGCAGTGAATGCAGTAATATTTCGTATGTGGTATGTGGTGGTTTATTTCTGCGAGCAGCACGTGTGAATATTTTCGTTTAGGCATCTACGGATATTATAGTTATTAAAATGAATAGCATTTTGTTTAAAAAAAAAAAACTTTATTTGGTTTTCTGCCTTATGAGGATAAACTAAAAATAAAAGAATTAGGTGGGCCAACACCACAATTAAATATTGAAATTAGTGGAACAAGCCGAAGTAAAAGTTATAAAAGACAATTTAACAATAATGTATACACAAAAGCAGAGTGGGTGTGCGGGTGTGATTTAAAAAATACACTGTTTTGTTTTCCGTGCTTACTTTTCGGTGGGGATAAAGCATGGATATACAGTGTGAAAGATTTAAGTAATTTAAGTCATTAGGTAAAATAAACATAAGAAGTCAGTTAGGTTCTGCATATTGGGATAATATACGGAAACACAATGAACAGGTAACGAAAAATCGTTATGTATTATCTAAAATCAGATTGCATAAAATTTTGCGGAGCTTTCGAATTAGCACTTCGCGGACATGACGAGGCAGAAAATTCGGACAACCCTGATATATTTCGTGGACTCATAAATTTTAGTGCAGATCTTGACGACATATTAAAAGAACATCTAGCCACATGGGTATGACCGGGATTTTCTGTGATTGTACGGGGAATTAGCTGTATGGTCCCGGATTTCGGATTTGCACGTATAACTCCCGGAATATAATATAATGTACATATATATAAAAAAAAGATAAAGAAAAAATCATAACACGGCGAGGAAAATTAAAATTCGTTGAATCGTTGGTAAATTTAACAAATGATTTTTTTTTTGTTTATAAACAGTATTCAATAATTTAATAAAATATATTTAGTTTATTCCAATTTATTTATACCGTTAGTAGGTAATTCGTGAATAGATATTTTAAAAAGGTATCAGTTTCAAAAATCGTTCTTGTGAAAATCTGTATTTTTGTATAAATGGATTGTTCCTTGAAATTCAGAAGTGCCAGGAAAACGAGTGACCTTGAGTTTAAAAATTTTTTGCCTGCCATTTAAAGACTCCCTGGGCTCTTAATATCCCGGAATTCAATTCAACAAATGTAACAACCCTAAGCAGAAGACATTCAATCAATGTTCACGTGCTGCCACTGCTGTCATGAGTTTAGCTTGCAGATGTAACAGCGTGTATAAAAAAATATCTGTTTCATATAGTAGTTTTTGCAATTTTAGGTTAGAAAATCTTGAAATATTGAGGTTATGGAGCAGATACGCCTGTGTTTTCAAATTCAGCGACTCAAGAAACGTATAAGTACTCTATACCTCGTTTTTGGATAAATTTTATTTATTTCCATGTTATAACGAAAGTGCTGAAGTACTAAATTTCAATCTATCAAAAAAAGGCTTTCAAAAAAATCCAAGTGCGCTTAGAAGGGTAAGAGTGGTATTTTGATATGGTTTAACGCAATTTTAGAAAAAAATAATAATTCACGTAATCTGACCCCAAATATAGCGAAAAACCGAGATTTTTGCACTTTCAGGTTAGAATATCTCGAGAACCTAGGGGATGGGCCATTTCTGATCTCGGATTCATAATCAGCGCACCAAAATCCCTTGGGTACTAGATCCGGTCTCTGGTTCTTTCGTAAAATTTTGTCGGCCTGTGTAATCTACAAGGTGATTTTATCACATCAATTGTAGTCGATAGCGATTTCCCATTATGGTTTCATTCGGTTTGAGCAATTCATAATAAACAACCCCCAGCTGATCGAGTGATCCCATCAAATACAGAGCAGAAACTTAGAGCCATGGTTATTCGGCTTTGCCTACGATGTTGATGCATGGCTGGGCTTACCCCACAATTTTCTATGCTTATGATTATGGTGGCGTAACCATTTTTCATCGCCAGTTATGATAAGATGTCCAATGTCGTTATCTTTAAATCATTCTTAATGCTTTCAAACATTTTGGAAAGGTTGTATTATGAACTTCTAATGATTCTGCAATCTTCAACATCAAAATCAATGTTTTAAAAGCGTCTAAAAACCAATTTCTGCATGCTGTTTGCGACAGAACATGTTGGTCATAAGTCTCAACAAGAATTCTGTATGCTTCAGTTGTGGATTTCTTATGAATAAAGTAAAATTCTCCACAAATACTCTTTTTTCGGCCTGAAATTCAACACTATGAAAAAAAAAGTTTACACTTCGTCAAAATAACACTGATTTTCAAGCTTGCTTATAGTACTTCTTTATAGGTGTTACCATCTTAAATTACACATATGTTCTGGTAATGTCTTCTGTTGGAAAACAATGAGAACTTATTCAACGTCAACAAATAGACATAAAGTAGTAGACAAAAAAAAAGTAGAGGGAAACCACACATCTCTATATCTTGATTCTTAGAAAATACAAAATGATTTTTTATTAATGTGGAATAAGTAATATTTTTATTTGTGTTTATTTTTTTTTAGTTTAGGTTTTTGCATAAAATCTGCAATATGCATGTGTTATTTCCTATCCAATTTTTCAGTTATAATAGCCTCAAGTTTTATTTTTGTAAGGCAGCCTATACATTTATAATTTCCATTCAAATGATTTACGATAAAGGAAATTTATGCATAAAAAATTGAGTAGACAAAAAAATATAAGTTTTGGGCTATGACTAAAGCAGCAGAAGTTATATAAAAATATAGCATACACCACTGAATTCTGTGCAAGAAACTGAAAAGCTCTTCATTAAAATAAAAATTTGGAAATAGGAAAGTTATATGACATGATAGAAAATAGCTCAAAACAATAATGCCCTGTACGTTTTAAACAAATCAACATCCCAAGTTAAAACTTTTGCTGTTTTATTATTCTCAAAAATTCTCCAAAACAGTCGAATTTGGTCCACCCTGTACAATGTTGTTAGTGGAAGTTTACTATACTATGATTTCTCTCACAATTTAGTTTTAATTATTATCATTGTTAACCAAAAATCTATTTTATATTAGAACATTATTCATGTGAGAAATGTGTAATTGTTTGTATTTTAATGTTGTGTTGTTTATGTGCACTATATCACTTGTAATTAAAAACTCACATTATTCACGATGGTGTTGGAACTAACTTGTTTTAGAAACGAAGCACCTTCCGAAGCTTGCCAGGAAGTTATGGAAAAACATCAACATATACGGTAATGTGTTCCTTTCTAACATATTTACTTCAATCACCCTTATAAAACACAACTGAATTCTGTAACAAACTTCCTTTATAACTACTTTTATAATTGCTGTGTGTAAATATCGTAATGCATACAGAGGGATACTTTCCTCTTAGTAATGAAATCTATTTTGTTATGTAACAGGCAAGCATGGGAAAATCTTCATGATCAAATAAACACTAGAGAACAAAGACTAAATGCAGCTGGAGAAATTCACAGGTTCCACAGAGATATAGCAGATGCTCTACAGAGAATTCAAGAAAAGAATGCCGCACTTGGCACCGACCTCGGTCGTGACTTAAACTCAGCTTTGACATTATTAAGAAAACACGAAGCTTTTGAAAATGAACTGGTCGTTTTAGAAGCACAGTTGCAAGTCCTTGTGGAAGACGCTTCAAGATTACAAAAAATGTATCCCAGCAATAAAAACAAAATTCAGCAGCAACAAGAATTAGTCGTGGATGCTTGGAACGGTTTGAAAGAAAGGGCAGAACTAAGAAGAGACCAGTTACAAGCTAGTGTAGATCTACAGAAGTTCCTAACCCAAGTGCGGGATTTAACAAACTGGGCAACAAGTTTAAGGCTAGCCATGAGCGCAGAGGAAAATGTAAGAAGCGCTGCTAGGGCACAAGTACTAAAGAGTGAACATGAAGCCCTTAAAGGAGAAATAGAAGCGAGAGAAGTCAATTTCCAAGATGTTGCTGAAAACCTTGCAGCAATGGAACAAACTGGTAATGACGTTTGAACTACCTACATCTTAATTGAATGCGCTTTAATTTTAATTTTATTTTAGGTCACTATGCAGCAACTGAAGCATTGGAGAGATATAAAAACCTGATACAGGAGAGGGAAAAACTCCACACCGCTTGGCAACTTAAAAAAATTCATCTCGATCAGTTATGTGACCTTCACATGTTCCTGAGAGAAGCTAAAATTATAGAAGATGCTACAAATGCTCAGGAAGCTGCCTTGAGTAATATGGTAATCTGTGAAACTGTAGACGAAGTAGCAAACTTGTTAAAGAAGCACGAAGCCTTTGAAAAAGTAATGAATCATCAAGACAAAAATTTGGAAGCTTTAATAGTATCTGGAAATAAATTATTGAATCAAGATCACTTCGAAAGTGAACAGATAGCTAGGAAGTTGGCAGATATCCAGCAAAAACGTATCCGTGTTCACCATTTGTGTGCCCAGAAGAAACAGTTACTTACGGATGGTTTACTTTATGCCGAATTTATCAGAGATGTTGGCGAGGCACAAATCTGGATAGCAGAAAAACAGAAAAAATTAGAAACTGAAATTAAGACTGGCGAAGTGACCAACTTAGAAGACAAAATTAAAAAGTTGCAGAAATATCAAGCCTTTCAAGCAGAGGTAGCTGCAAATTCCGGAAGAATAAAGGAAATTAAGACTAATGGGGACACATTGATAAGAAAGAACCATAAATCTTCTAAGGATATCGGAGAACAATTATACCAACTGGAAAAAGCATGGAAACATTTGATAGATGAAGTGACTCTTAGAGGAAAAGGATTAGAAGAAGCTCAAGATATTCTTGAATTTAATAACCAACTTGACAAAATTGAATCGTGGATTAGAGATAAAGAGGTCATGATACAAGCTGGAGACACCGGTAAAGATTATGAACATTGCCAAATGTTGCAACGCAAATTAGACGATGTGGACAGTGACATGAAAATAGATGATACCAGAATTAAAACTATCAGTGCCTTAGCGAATAAATTAGCTAGACAGGGCCACCATGGAGTTCAAGAAAGAGAGGGCAATTTCATCAAAAAATGGCAGTCTTTGCAAGGAGCTCTTAACGATTATAGAAATAAATTAGCTGCTGCATCAGAAATCCACCTTTTCGATCGTGACGTTGCAGATACTTCTGAACGGATTGCAGAAAAATGTGTTGCTATGGAATCTGATGATGTTGGTAAAGATCTAAATGCTGTCGAAGCTTTGCTACGGAAACAGGAGGCACTTGAGAGTGAAATAGCTGTAGTTGAAAATAAAATATTGGACGAACATCAGAAAAATGCATTTTATCTTAGCCAGAAATATCCACACATGGCACAACATTTGGAAGATAAATTGTTGGCTCTACAAGATCAGTTAGATAAACTGATGAACGCTAAGAACAAACGTAGAGATTTATTAGAAAAAGCTTATGCACAAGAAAAATTCTTGTCAGAAGTTAAGGAAATCGAGCAGTGGGTAAACGACATAATTAAAAGGATGGAGGCTCAAGAAAAACCTAATAGCATAGCGGAAGCGGAGGCTCAGTTGGAATTACATAATGAATTAAGGGCTGAAATCAATGGTCGAAACGAGCCATTTAAGGTCCTTATCCATTATGGAGAAACATGCCCTCAAAAGGATAATCCAAAAATTCAAGAAAACGTGCAAAAACTTAAAGATTTACGAGACAATATCCACAAAGCTTGGGACGAACGTAAGCAGGAATTAACACACGAGTATGATTTAGAAGATTTCAAAGAACAAGCGAAACAACTGAACAGCTGGTTAGCAACAAAAGAAGCTTTCTTAAATAACGATGATGTAGGTGACACGCCTAGAGCTGTTGAGGTTCTACTACGTAAACATAATGACTTTGAAGCTATGCTTGAGAAGCAGTTAATCAAAGTGGAGGAGCTGGAGGAAGTAGCCAAACGAATTATGTCAGATACTAACAAGAACAATGAGGAAGTTTCCAACAGATTAGCGGCTATCATTAATCGCAAGAACAAGCTTTTAATGAAAGCGGAGGAACGTAAAGACACGTTAGAAAAATCCAAGGCTCTGCAAGAATTCTTAAGAAATGTGAATGACGTGGAAACTTGGTTGAGTCAAAAATTGCAAATTGCAGCTGATGAAAACTACAGAGAACCAAACAATTTACAAAATAAGATACAAAAACATGCAACTTTTGAAGCTGAAGTGATTGCGAGTGGCGAAAGAATTCAAAATGTAGTTGAAGAAGGAAAAGAACTGATATCTATCGATCATTATGCTGCTACTGAAATAGGAATTAGGTTAGACGAACTTGAAAATGATTGGAAACATCTTCTAGAACTATCGAATCTTAAAAGAGACAGACTTAATGAAGCCTACCAAGCTCTTTTATTCAATCGCTCTTTGGACGAATTTGAAACTTGGCTTTTAGAAGTCGAAGGTCAAGTTAAAAGTACTGATACTGGTAAAGATTTAGCGACAGCTAATAATATACTAAAACGTCACACCACCCTGGAAAATGATATCCAGCAACATACTGAAAATTGTGAAATAATACATGAAGGAGCAGAACAATTTATCAAAAGTGGCCACTTCATGGCAGACGAAATTGAAGCAAGAGCACAGGATTCTATAACTCGCTTCCATCAGCTTAGAGAGCCTTTACAAGCTAGAAGAGATTTACTTGAATCATCTACAATGTTGCAACAGTTTACCAGGGATGTAGATGACGAACTTCAATGGTTAGACGATAGAGAACCACTTGCTGCATCTAGAGAGTTGGGCAACAGCTTAACAGCTGTACAAAGTTTACAAAAGAAGCATCAAGCCTTAGAAGCCGAATTGGCTTCAAGAGAACCGATTGTTTCCTCACTTGTAGCTCGTGCTGCTCATTTAACGAGTGCAGAACATCCTTCAGCATCTATTATTAGTGCAAAAGCAAACGAGTTAAAGACAAAATTGGCCCAAGTAAGAGATTTAGCCAGTATCAGACGTTTGAGGCTACAAGATGCCTTGGAAGCGCAAACAGTAGGTTTATAAATGAAATTTAAAATTCCTTTCTTTATACATATATATTTTTTTTATTTTAGTTCTATCAAGAAGTATCAGAAGCAGAGGCATGGATCAACGACAAACGTCCTTTCTTGGCGACAAAAGAAGTAGGCAAGGATGAGGATACGGCTCAGTCTCTCCAAAGAAAATTAGAAGCTCTTTCAATCGAAGTTAAAACTTTTCAGCCCACTATTCAAAGACTGGGACAAGTTGCTGATGCTTTAGTCGAACGAGAACATTTTGACTCCAATAATATAGCAGCTACTAAGGTAGGCAATTTTATAATAGTTTTAAATTTTATAGCCTGATAATTAAGGCTCGAATATTATGTTCAGGATTATATGAATTCTCAACAAATTATTTGTATATAAATAGAGCTAATACACAGATTCCTTATTAAAATTTAAGTACTCGAATCAAATGTGTAAGAGCACATTTTTGTAGGAATCTCCGCCTAATACAAGTATTATTTACACAGGGTGATTCACAAACAGTAACCAAAAATGAAACCTCGTATTCTTTGGTGAATTTTATGGGGAGTTTTTATCTAGGACACTCCGTTAGAAAGATTTCTCATATTTACAGTAGGTAAATCTATAGAAAATAAAGATTATTATTATTATTATTATTATTATTATTATTATTATTATTATTAAAGATACAGGATGTTAAACTTCAAAAGATATTTTTTAATTTTTTTAAATAATTAAAAACTAGTAAGTGAAATCATTTGAAATTGGGCACATGTATGTATGTAAACATTGTCCAAAATCTGAGACTTTTTCCTAAAATTTATATGCTCCAGTGGCAGAGATACAGGGTATCGGTGGCATATTTTTCTAAACAAAATATTACACCACTGCTTTACGGTAACAGTCATGATATTTTTGGATTCGTCTTTCAATTTTCTACAAATTACTACTTTCTTATGTTTTTAAAAAAAAACCTGATTTTCAAGTAAAGCTTAAAAAACGAAATGAAAACACTTTTACTTAAATGACATAATAAACACTAATAATTCGGTTATTTATTTGAATAAAGAAATTACAGTGAAAATCGTTTATAACAACCTTTAAGGGACCGTTTGTTTACGGTTGTTATAATCGATAGACGTAATAAGCAATTACATATATTTTATTTAAAATTTTTATAGAAAAAATGAGAAATTACAAGTCTTTATGTATGTACATGTATTGCTTTGCGTTCAAAAGATCACGCACGCTTCATTTTCAATGAATTGTTTACGAATAGAGACTACTTTATTTCTATCCTTCCAAATTGTTGAAATCGTAGTGTGACACGCCACATTTTTTTTGCTTACTTGCATTAGCCATTTTTTAATCTCTATATTATATGTGATTTTTCTTCTTAATTTAACACTTTTCCCTTCGACATCGTGATAGAAAGCAGTAATTAATTCATGTAATACAATTGTATGCGTGTCATAGTAAACGATATTTTTAATGTGGTATTTCTACAGGGTGTCCGGAAATGATGAGCAAAAAATTCAGGGGATAATTCTAGACCGAAAATAAATCCTACCTCTTTCTATAACATTTTTTCCAAAACTGATTATTAACGGAGTTACAGGGTGTTAAAGTTAAATTTTATTTGCAGTTTCTTTGCAATACCTTTTGCCACACTCATAATATTTTGACGAAATTTCGTATATGGGGGTTTTTCGGGATGAGGATTATAAATTTGCCCACCGTTTTTACGTATTTTGTGGAGGGCGCCACATACGAGCCTTTATTTTGATTTGAATGGTTCCAACTTTTTTGTGCTACACTTTATGCGACTTTTGATTCTCCTAACCTTTTGACATAAAAAAGATATACTTTATTTGTTTCGATAAATCTAACCGTTTTCGAGAAAAAGGCTAAAATAACATCGCTTGCATGTGATGAATACGAAATCATTTTATTTTCTTTTCTACATTAAACATAGCATGCTTTGGAAACAAGCGCTTAGTTGCCTTGGAAACAAATTTGTGGAAAATTAGTTTTGATAGATAGTAATTTTGTACAAGTTCTTTTGTAGTAATTGTTATCATAAAAATAATAATAAAAATGAACAACAATTACTCTAACGTGGAGTTGCGGGACATACATTATTATTAAGGTTTAGCTGCTGGCAATGCTCTTGCAGCACGACGTTTGTATCGTGAAGCATTTCCAAATAGAAACCTACCCCAATCGCGAATGTTCAGTACTATTCATCGAAGACTGGGAGAATTTGGATTGTTCAAAACTAGAAATTTTGATGTAGGTCGACAATGGAATACTAGCACAGCAGAAGCAGAAGCTTGTATTTTGAATTTGATAGAGAAGAATCCCAATATAAGTATAAGAAAAATTGCTATTCAGGAGGGCATTCCAAAGAGCTCCGTACATGAAACAATACACGAACAAAATCTTCATCCGTACCACTACCAAAAGGTGCAAGCCTTATCTGCCGTTGATCCTGCTGCTTGTGTGAATTTCTGCAATACAATAAGAATACTTCATAATGGTGACCAAAATTTTGTTCGTAATATCCTTTTCACAGACGAAGCTGGATTTGGCCATGATGGCTTAATAAACCTCCACAATGAGCATTTTTGGTCTGATGAGAATCCTAATTTATCAATAGAGCGTGGTTATCAAAATAAGTTTTCCGTCAACGTGTGGGCCGGTATTGTAGGGGACTACTTAATTGGGCCACATTTCTTTCCACAAAGACTCAATGGTGAAGTTTACTTGGATTTTTTAAGAAACCACTTACCTATTCTATTGGAAGATGTACCACTCGGATTAAGAAATGCAATGTGGCTGCTTCAAGATGGCGCGCCACCGCATTTTAGTTTAGCGGCCAGAGAATTCTTAAATGAAACTTTTCCTGAAAGGTGGATAGGACGCGGTGGTTTTGTACAGTGGGCCCCTAGATCCCCTGACTTAAACCCAATCGATTTCTTTTTTTGGGGCTATCTGAAGACGCTTGTATACAGGACACCTGTGAATAGCGTCGATGAACTGAGAGAAAGAATTGTTGCTAATTGTGAGGTAATTAAGCAAAAGGAAGGAATATTCCATAGAGTTCGTCGGAATTTTTTAAGAAGAATTAATTTATGCATTGAAGAGGAAGGACGTCACTTTGAACTTTTGATTTGAATGTTTAATTTGTATTTGTATTGTTCTAGTAACTTATGTATTTTAACCTTATGATTTTGTTAGTAAACCATTCTTTATTTGTTGAGGACGTTATTTTTTTATTATTTATCATTAACCACCATCAGCGTAACAACAAATTTTCACAAAAATTACTATCTGTCAAAACTAATTCTCCACAAACTTGTTTCCAAGGCAACTAAGCGCTTGTTTCCAAAGCATGCTATGTTTAATGTAGAAAATAAATTAAAATGATTTCGTATTCATCACATGCAAGCAATGTTATTTTAGCGTTTTTCTCGAAAACGGTTAGATTTATCGAAACAAATAAAGTATACCTTTTTTATGTCAAAAGGTTAGGAGAACAAAAATATTCAGTCAAAAGTCGCATAAAGTGTAGCACAAAAAAGTTGGAACCATTCAAATCAAAATAAAGGCTCGTATGTGGCGCCCTCTACAAAATGCGAAAAAACGGTGGGCAAATTTACAATCCTCATCCCGAAAAACCCCCATACACAAAATTTCGTCAAAATATTATGAGTGTGGCAAAAGGTATTGCAAAAAAACTGCAAATAAAATTTAACTTTAACACCCTGTAACTCCGTTAATAATCAGTTTTGGAAAAAATGTTACAGAAAGAGGTAGCATTTATTTTCAGTCTATTATCCCCTGAATTTTTTGCTCATCATTTCCAGACACCCTGTATAGGGTTAAATCAGGACTTCCGAATTCCGTCATTATATCCAATATGTCATACAAAGTGATGTCGTTATAACCAATTTTCACTGTAATAACATTACTCATCATTTTAATGATTTTATTTGAGTAATTTCTCAAAAATACCTCCATTTCCACGAACACAGGCACGACATCTTTTTAATAACAAAAAGTGCAATTTATTCGAAATTTATTGTTGCTTGAATCTGATGAAAACATAATTTATTATTTTGTCTAACTGCTCAGAATGCCAAAGTTGCTATTGCAGCCTACTATAATTTTAAACCGGATTTTATTCGTATATCGAAGTGTGTTTTCAGTTCGTTTTTTAAGATTTACTCAAAAATTAGGCTAGAAAAACATAAGAAAGACGAATCCAAAATATCATGATAAAAGCATCATGGTAAAGCAGTGTTGCACTATTGTATTTAGGAAAAGGTCTCAGATTTTGGACAATGTTTTCAAAAATACATGTGCCCCATTTCAAATTATTTCCCTTAGGTACTAGTTTTTAAATGATTTAAAAAAATTTAAATATATCTTTTTAAAACTCACCAAAGAATACGAGGTTTCATTTTTGGTCATCGTTTGTGAATCACCCTGTATTTACAGTTATAGTAATTTATACAAACTAAACAAAATTTTTTTATAGAAATACACCACATTTTATTAATCTTGAAGTTTATTTTCTTTCCTATGACTAATCCGATCTTGATGACCTTTTTTTAAATTATAGGATTATTCTTTCTTCAGTAATATTCCTAAGGTAGAAATTTTTATTGAAATTTAAGAATATACACGGTGCACTGCAAAATAAGTTTTTTCTCCAAAATTTGAAACACCTTGTAGGAAGTGCCAACTACCTTACCAAATGTTTACTTGTATCACATTGTAGTCTCTTGTTTTCTGAAAAATTTGTGTTTTAATTCATTTCATATACTTGGTTAATTGCAAGCGCACCAGTTTGTTCCAAACATTTATAAACAGAAAATAAATGCCTCAAATTAACTGTTTTGTTAGTGAACAAATACGGTTTTTGTTTATACAATTCCAACCGTTGTGTAGGGGAAGTCAAATGGAGATTAGAGACAAAAACTATGGGAATTAAAACATGTGTTATAGTTGTGCAACGATGTGCGGTAATAGTTGTCGCTTGTGTCTCTAGCTTCTATCTTTGGTGGTCATATTCCCAGTACAACATTCGTCAAAACATATTAAACCATATTATTTAATGCAGATCCTGTAATAGTTTAGGGAAGAATTTTCTTGATGACTAAAATAGAACTGTTCTGCTTCTCGTATAAACAATTTCTTATTAATGCACGATAACGCAAGACACCACACTGCTCATGCAGTACAGGAATAATTGCTTGAGTTGTGTATTGAGCCTTTAGACTAGCCCACGGGTAATCTAGATCTCACTCCTATAGAACATTTGTGGGACAACATGGGTAGACAACTGAGAAACAATTAACCAGTACATCGAAAACACGCTCAGAGAAATATTAAATTAAATAAAGTTATAACTTAGAAAAATAAAGTCGTCAAAATCAAATTAGCTGCCGCAAGAAAATCAACATTGAAATTGAGACCCATTTTTAATGGTGCATTAATGTGAAGTGTATATTTTTTTGATATTTGAAACATCGGGTTGAAAAATTTTAAATGGAACACCTTGTTTATATAAATAATTGTATTCTTGACAATTATTTATAGAGATAAAAAATTATTTTTTAAAATTATTTATTTGTGACATATTTTAGCTTTTCCCTCATTATTAGGGTCATTTATCTTGCTTGTGAAAAAATTAAAAATTGATTAAACAACAAGAATCGGTGAATTATTAAATTAATTTTGCCTAACCAAAACTCTTCCACTGAAAGAGGCAAATGAATAAAAAATATAAAAAATACGCATCACTACTGTTATCAATCTATTATCATTTTCAAAAATAAGAATGATGTTTCTTTTTCAAATAAATTTGACAGTTTTTTATTTTGAGATTCTAAATTAGGCAAAGACAAAATACTCTAATAAATAAAGAAAACAAATATATTTAACGCATAATGAAATGTTTTATTTATTCAGGTTGAACTAGAAGGAGAATTTGCCGAATTACGAAAGTTGGTTACCGAAAGAGAAGTCCGACTCTCCGAAGCTTTACAGTACTTCGGTTTCATTCATGACTGTAATGAAGTTCAGGAATGGATGAGAGAACAAATGAATAAAGCCGATTCGGAAGAATATGGCAATGACTTAGAGCATGTCGAACTACTTATTCAAGCATTCGATACATTCCATGCTAGCTTAATGAACAGCGAACCGAGAGTACAGCAATGCGTAGAAAATGGAAACGTTATTATAGAAGCTAAGAGCAGTTACAGTAACGAAGTCCAACAGAAGGTTATTGACTTGCAGAACACCTGGGAAGATTTAGTTGAACTGGCCAATGCACGTAAAGAAGCGTTGGCAGGGGCTAAACAAGTTCACGTATTCGATCGAACTGCAGAAGAAATCATTTCTTGGATACAAGAAAAAGAGGCTGATATCAACTATAGTCCCTACGTGCAAGATTCAGAAGCTATTGAACAACTAATAAGGAAACATCAAGCCCTTGAAACTGAAATGAAAGCTATTAAGGATAAAGTGGACCTTATAGAACAGGAAGGTGATAGACTTATTGCTGAATTTCCGGATACTAAGGAACACATTGATGATAAGAGAGAAGACACTGTTAGTGCTTGGGAGGACTTACAAACTAAAGCCGAGAGAGAAAAAGATTACCTACAACAATCTGAACAATTACAGTCGTACTTTGATGAATATCATGATTTGCTGTAAGTATATGCTTAAAGTTACATTATATTTATCAAAAATTAAAAATTTATTCAAACGGTATAGCAACATCATTGAAGAGGTTTCTAACACAAATAGTGAATGCGTTATTGTATGTAATTGGTAATAGAATATAGTTATTTTTAAGTGGTAACCTATCCTTACAAGTAAACTGTTGTTAGACCATACTACAATTTTCCCAATTTATGATTGTTGTAGATTACAGGGTCCATTATAAAAGTAATGCGCATTTTGTGGGAAAAATAGATTTATTGATTGTACCGGTACAAATACTTAAAATTCTTCAAAATACTCTCCCCCAGCATCAATGCACTTGCGGAGACGTGTCTGCCATGCCTGGAAGGCACCCTGAAACTCTTCGACGGGAATTGTTCTTAGGAACGTTGTAACATGCTTTTGGATGTTTTCCACAGACTCCCAATGCCTTCCTTTCAGCTCTCTCTTCAGTCAGGGAAACAAAAAAAAGTTGCATGGAGCCAAGTGGGGACTGTAAGGGGGCTGGGGGACCACCGGGGTGTTGTTCCGGGTCAGGGAGTTGGTAACATTGAAGGCCGTGTGGCTGGGGGCATTGTCATGGTGGAGCTTGACCGTGTTTTTGATGTCTGCCCTCACGCACGCAACCGGGTGTTTCAATCTCTTGAGCACCTCCAGGTAAAAGGCTGAGTTGACAGTTTCTTCCTGCAGTACAAACTCAAAATGGACGATTTTCGGACGTCAAAAAAGACAGTGAGCATCGTTTTGATGCGAGACTTGCTCATTCACACTTTCTTGGGGTGGGGGAATGATTTTGTGTGCCACTCGCTGCTCTGCCTTTTCGATTCTGGGTCGTACTCGAACATCCAGGATTCATCTCCGGTTACGACAGAGTTAAGAAAGTCCGGCTCATTTTGAATCAAATCCAACAATTCTTGACAGCTTGAAACTCGATGTTCTTTCTGGTCTTCCGTCAACACTTTCGGCACAAGCTTCGCGCAGACCTTGCGCATTTGCAGGTCCTCGGTCACTATCCCATGTATCTACCACAAATGTGGACATGTTTAGGGTGTCAGCAATTTGCTGCATACTCAATCAACGGTCGGAACGCAAAACTTCGCCCACGATTCACGTTTTCGTCAGTTCTGGCCGTTGTTGGGCGTTCAGAACGGGGTTGTCGGCGATATCCCCCCAGCCCTCCTTGAACACCTTGTGCCACCTCCGAGACTGTGACCTTGAAATGCAGCTGTCCTTGAAGGCCCCTTGAAACATCTGGAATGTTTCGGTTACATTCCCAACCACACACAAAACTTAATGGTATATCGCTGTTCAAGCGAACGCTCCATAGGGCTGTATTACAAAGTCGAAAAACACACTTTACACGGAGGCACGTCTTTCCACACAGACTGCTCGGAACAAACTGGCGACCGGCTGCATTGGAAGGGCAGACCCCGCACCACATTTCACGACCCGTTTTACCCCGCTGTGATGGATAGTTGTGTCACATCACATCACAATTACTTTTATAATGGAGCCGGTATAAATTGGTTTTGTAAAAAGTCGATAAATTTTAATGGTGTTTTCAAGAAAAATATATTTTGTAGTTTATTTGAAAATCAGATCATATTTGTTTTTGAACAAGCACATTAATGAGTAACACCTCTATAAAAGTAAAGCATTTTTTTACAATTTTTTTTTATTGGAAGGAAATGTAAGAGGATAATAATATTAAAGGATGTTATGAACGATGTCTTTAAGTGAAAAAATATATATATATATTTATTCATAAGTAGTATAAAATGGCGACGCTAGAGCTATTCTCACGAGGCATGTTGAATTCGAGGCGCTCTGCGGCATGCAGTATAACTGAAATTTGAAAATAGAAAGAACAACAAAATTTCTCTTAATCTACATGAGTATGGCTAGAAAAATATGAACATTTTGACAAAAAAAAAGGTGAAATTATTTGTTATTAAATAATGATAAAATCAACTTATTGAAAATCCCAGATCTACTTCTCTTTGAAATGTTATATTAAAAATATAGTTAAAATTTGGATTGAATAAAATGAAAATTGTTAAGAGTTATGCTGTATGCCGTTTTAAAAAATCACGTTTTGAGAAAAACGTCTTTAAAGTTTTGAGACACTATACTAACTTTCATTTGAAAATGCTTTTAATTGAATACAAACTCCTAACAATATTTGTTAGTAGTATTGGAGAAGTTGAGTTAGGTTAGGTAGGTATAATTTTGCCTATCTAATTCTAACTTATTAGCTCTTTTAATTTATTTGATATCAAACAGCAGATTTTTTGTATTATGAGAATTAGTCTTATACATTTAAAGTAAAATAAAATTGATTTTTTTACTTTAGTGCATGGATAAATGAAATGCTCGCGAAGATAACAGCGCCCGATTTGCCACAGGACAGCATGGAGGCCGAAATTCTAATAGAAAGGCATAAGGAATACAAAAGTGAAATTGATGGACGTTTGCCAGTTCTCAAACAGTTTTACAAAAACGGTAACACCTTCATTAAAGAGAAACACTATCTATCTCAAGAAATCGAAGATAAAATAAAAATACTACAACAAAGAATGGAACTGTTGATAAATATATGGAATAAGAGAAATATCATTTACGAACAAAACTTGGATGTGCAACTTTTCAAACGAGAGGCAAATACTTTAGAAAACTGGTTGGTTGTAAGAGAGGGTATCTTAAAAGACTCTAAAGTCGGAGAAAGCATTCCACAAGTTGAGGAACTTATTCGTAAACATCGTGACTTCGAAGAAGCTGTCAAAGCACAAGAGGATAAGTTCGACGCTCTTAAACGAATGACACTGGTAGAAGATGCATTTGCCCAACAGTTGAAACAAGAAGCTCTTGCACGTAAAGCTGAAAAAGAAAGAGTGGAACTGGAAAGGTTAGAACAGAGGAAGAGACAAGAAATGGCAAGAATAGCCGAAATGAGGCGACAGGAATCTAGAGAGAGAGATTCCAGGTATCATGATATACCAGAAGACACTGTTAATGGTGAAACGATTATTACTACAGAAACTCAGATTGTAATTACTCCTCCGCCTGTGAAACCCAGTGTGACTCTGAGAAAAACTAATTCAGTGGCTCAGATGTTTGAAAGAGACAGAATGAGGAGAGGTTCCGATGCCTCAGTAAAAAGGGCAGAGAGTATGAAAGTTGGACCAAGTTCCAAACCACCGAAGAGGACACCTTCATTTACTACAAGAAGACGAGGCTCGTTAAGATCAAAACCAGCAGGTAAATATTGCAATTTTATCACTTTTCTTATCAATTAATGGGGTTGTTCCTTCAACCAAAAAGAAATATTCATTTCTGAAAAATATATTTTAATATTTTTGGTAAAGATATTAGTTAATTTTAATCAGTAATTTTTTTATTATTTTGATTTTAAATTTTATTTTACATGTCACTAAGGGAAAAATTAGATCACAAATCTGTTGGCACACGGGGTTGCGTAACTGGTAGCAATTTATGCACTAACTTTTTGGACTCAACTCCTGGTCTTATAACTTCTCAAACACTACTTGTCTGTCCTTGAATTACTGCTTCTTTACTTTTTCAATGGAGAAATTGCATATGAATTTGAAGATTAAAAAACCAAAATGTCAATATAATGATCTAAATAATTAACAGAATCTGTTAAATTCTGTGGATGGGAAACCCATCATTTGACAGTATACTATGGATGGAGCCAAAGCTGACTTTCTGTGCAATGTACCTGCTCCAACATGAACTGCAAAAGCGGCAGCGATTTACCCTAACTCACGTAACCTAGGATACAAATCGCGCGACATTGATTTAAGAGGGCTCAATAGCAAATAGCCAACCAGCAATACATATTTATAGATTTTATTACACAGTTTGTCCAAATTTGAATTAATGCACAAATAACAGACTTTCCCCCATTTGAATGCAGATTTTCTATAAAATGGACTTGGTTTGAAACTCAAATTATTTTTTGATGTAAAGAAATTTGTAATTTACGATGTCGCTTGTTCTAAAGCGGCCCCTTACCTCTCTCTCTACATTCCATCCATAGTATACTGTCAAATCGATGGGAAAACCACTGAAATGACCAGTATTAAAATTCCATGGCACAATTAAATTTTAGATATAGTTTTACCGCCAGTGGAAGCAGAGGCATTCTTGGAAAGAAAACAGTTATTACTTCCTGGGCAAAAAAGAGCAACAAACAGGACATGGAAGAATTCATACACTGTACTCTGTGGTCAGTTGCTATGCTTCTTTAAAAACAAAGACGATTTTGCAGCAAGTAAAGCAAGTTGTCCACCACTAAATATCCACAATGCTTCGTGTACAGTAGCCGAAGACTACCAAAAACGAAAACATACTTTCCGATTAATAATTACTGACGGTTCAGAATTCCTGTTCTCTAGTAATTCCGAAGTAGATATGATGGACTGGATAAACAAAATTACTTTTAGAGCTAGGTTACCTCCAAGTCAACAGTTGCTGCACTTCGATATTCCTAAGGTAAATATATTTTGGTTGTTTTAAAATTTGCTTTGTTACATTACTTTATTTACAGGACCATAACGATTTTGAAATTAGTTCCCAATCGAGTAGGACTTCAAGTCCGGATGTGGCGGATTCAGTACTTTTGCGGCATGACCTTCAGTCGACTAATGGAAGCGTAGCGTCACATTCTCATCGACATACAATGGGTAAGACATTCTTTATTTTTGTTTTTAAAATGTTTTATTCACATCATTTAAACCTAATATCGTATCCACAAGCAAGTGTATGTACAGAATGTCACACATTTACTATAAATAAACACATTTTACAGTGCCTCTATATTCATTTTTCATTTGTAAATACCTTTACTAAAGTGTGTATGTTGGAGACAATTAATTTGTGCAGCAATTTAAAGATATATATTTGATGTTCTAATGGTAACAATGCGAACTTTGTATATACCACATCCAAAACGAGAATGTCTATCATGAGGATATCGAAAACGATGGCTTAAATTAAAAAAAAGTTGCGTTATTAGGGAACCAGCGGTGACTGATGAAAATTAAAGTGCTCATATTTTGATAAATAAATATGTGACCCATACCTTTTCTTAGATGATTTCTAGATCCATAAAGAGTACTTTCATGATGAAAAAGTTTCCAGAGAAATTAGCGAAAAAGGGAATTGAAATAGAGGTGTCCGTCCTGGGTTTCAAAAAGAGTTACCCGCTTGTGTCCATGGATTGAGTGCACGTGGGGTGTAGATGACAAAAATTTTTTCGAGTTGAAATTTCAGCTCTGAGCATAAACTAGGATGTTGAGAAAATTAGTCCAATTAATTAATGTACAGGGTGTTTTTATAATGAATTTGTTTCTAAAAATATCAAAAATATTTACTTAAGAAAGTTATTGAGAACTAAAAGTTATGACAGATTGTCAATTTTCAATTTCTCTTCTCTTCTTCTTTTTTTTTTTTATTTTTCACAACCACAAAGTACAAATTCCAAATTATTTATTAGAAAAAAAAATGTAACTAATATAATAAACATAAATAAACAAATAATATAATGGTTATTCAAATGTGCTGCCACCAACCATTACACATCGCTCAGCGCGCTTGGTAAATTCTGTGCAGGAATTTTGGATTTCTTGAATGAGGATGGCATTAATTATTGTATCTTTTATTCTTCGTTTTAATTCAAATAAATAAAAGTCCAATAGAGTTAAATCAGGACTTCTAGTTGACCAAGAAATTGGATCAGGATCGGGAAAATATAATTATCATTAAAGAATTAAATATTACTAAACATTTTAAAACAATAAAAATATGCACTTACAATTTAATTATTGAGGTATGAATATATAACGTTTTGACAAATTTGAACAAACATCTGATCCAATGAAAGGAAATATGGCAACACTGTACGCTGTATTTAACGCATTAACTGACGCGCTATATTTGAATAGCTCGATTATAGATTATAAAATTATTCCAGCGAAAACATATGTAGTAATAATTAATATTAAATACATTTTTTGTGATCTAATGCAATATAATAGCAAGTTGAAACTAAAATTGAAAGGATCTCTTTGCAAAACGAACAGTATAGATGTTCTGTCATAATCTTCAATTTGACAAGGTAACGTCTCACTATCATGCACTGAGCTTCTTGATAGTTATCATATGGATTCTCGGTTTGCACATTTTACTTTTTTCTTATCAGTCCCACATTCTGTTTCATACGCATTTTATATTGCTTTCAGTCATTACTTTTCCTTTGTATCTTGGATGTTCATTCATGTTTATGGAATACGTGCAAAGCACAGTTGACAGTTGTCCCAACTTTTACCACCACGCCATGGCAATGTTGCCAGATTTCATCAATAATATTACAAGCTCCTAATGAATAGACACTTTTATTCAAATAAAAAGTTAATTGCCGTGCATTAAACACGAAAAATATATGCAAGCTAATAAAGTATAAGTTGTATAAATTTCATTCGTATATATTATATTTAGTTTGCTCAAATTAGTTTATGTAAGGTTGGTACTACAACGAAACTACCGTGTATAAGCATAGGCTTCCCTCCCGCACCGCCTGCCCTGCAAGAGATGTATCAAACCTTCTTAAGTAAATATTTTTTATATTTTTAAAAACAGGTACTTTACTCGAGAATTTTTTAAAATTCATCGTAAAAACACCCTGTGCATTAATTAATTGGACCAATTTTTTCAACTTCTTAGTTTAAGGTTAAGCAGAGATGAAGCCCAAAAGCTCAAATTTCAACTCGAAAATTTTTTGTCATTTACACCTCACGTGCACTCAATCCGTGGACACACTGTATATAAAAATTTAATTTTGTGAAAAATAAAGAAACCTAATTGTACCTCCTAAAATCGTATGGGTCCCATTTTTTTATAAAAAATATGACATCGATTTTCATCAACCACCGCTGTAAGGGACCATTGAAATAGTTGAAGTAGATCTCAGATTATTTATTTTTTAGATATTTTGAAAACTAGGTTTTCTACTTTATTTTTTTCTAAAATAACATTTGTTCATGGCACCTTTTAGGGGAAGGCCGGGTAAGATGGGGCAGTTAAGGATTAAAACTCAATTATTCATAGGGTTTAGTAGTTTTAAAATCGTCTTTATTCTTATTCAGTCATTTTGTTGTCAGTCTTCAATAATTACATGAAATCAGGAGCATCTAACCATTGCACAAGTGATTAAATAACAATATATAAAAAACTAGATATCATTCCATTTTACCTGAACTATCGGGCAAGATGGGATGATGTTATAGGGCACGATGAGGCACACTCATCTTCTTTTTGTGAAAATACGGGTAGTCTGGGCGTCAATTGTACCTTCGGGTTCTCTATTTCATCACTGTTTTCACGGGCCTTTTTTAATTTTCTCTCCAATGTGGTTAGTGGGACTGAAAAGGACTTAACAGGTAACATACATGTTAAAATGGGATACACCATTTTTACCACCAACTTTTTTTGTGAGATAAAAATGAATGGTCTATGAATGGTCACTACTGCTTAATGTCTAAGCCTTCAGTGTAGCCAAACTGACAGACAGCTGATTCCGCTGACAAGTGATGTTACTAGATATTCCCGGGTGTAATTCAGTGCTGGTTGGGGCGTTAGTCTGCAGAATTCAGGAATATCACAGTTTTTAAATACAGTTATGTCTTCTATCTAAAGTATATATTTTTGAATCATTTTAGGTTGATTTTCACTGATGTGTTATTTATGATGGTTTAATTATGCTTCAGATACATTTCATCTGTCATCAGAAGTATTTTGAAAATATTTTTAAATTCAATGTTTTTTTTACTCATATGTGTAACAAAGAATATACAGTTGAATAATTTCCAGACTGGTTGCACATCTTTACTTTAGACTTTTTAACGTTTCAAGAGACATATCACATTCTTCAGAAGGAATTTTAAAACAAGATTAAATCCTCTGGCTGGCATTTATATTTGTTGTGTTTACGGATCCATGTTGTTCCAGTGCTTGATTATTTCAATTCACTGATCTGTGATGTTCCGGTCCTTATTTCTATGTAGAAGCCATTTTCAAATTCCAGGTAGTTAGTTCCAGGTTCTTTTGGATTTCTATTACTCTTTTGTATGTCTTTGATTTTCCTATGATAGATATCCTTATGTTGGACATGGCACATTTATTTTTGGTGATATACAATAATTTAATAAGAAATATCGCAATATCAAAAAAATACATTCAAAATTGATAATTTAAAACCTTTGTAAAGATCAAAAAAGTATTTTTAATATATAAAAAAATGTTATTGTGAAAATATGGTGTAAATAGAATTTTTTTGATGTGAGTCACACAATTCCAGAATATAGCGTATATTAAAGATAAAAAGTGATTTATATTAATTAATGTTTTTAATATACTTACTTAACTAAGTACAGGCAAATTGCATGATGTAATGCATACTATTCATATTTAATTTTCAGTATCAAATAAGTGATTCATTGTAACATATGATTGGTAATATTTTACTAATTAATTTACTAATTTAGGAGAAAGTCCACCACCTTTACCGATGACCGAACCTCCAAATAATTATATGTCCAGGCGTTATGCTTTCGAAAACAGTGGAAATATTTATGGTTAGTTTGCATGCTGGAAATATATTAAAAACTTACTAATGGGCACTCCTTTCATTAACTTTTCTCTCTTTTCAGCACTCTCTTTTGCTTGTGTATCTATTCTCTTCTTTCACCACCAAATAAGTTGTTTAAAATTAGTGAAAATAAATTTGTCGACATGAAAATCTTATAATATATTGAATAACTTCTCAAAAACACATATTGGTTCATTAATTGTTTATTAATCTTGAGAAGTTTAATTAGAGCTCGGTGAGCCTGGAGACATGACACAAATAACAAGACAGGTTTAGAAAAATAGGGATATAGATTTATTAAATCGTTTTATGTGTAATGTATCAAGCTAATGGTTACATAATATGTGTGTCAGCAGACAAAAATATAGTGTACAAATGTACTTAACTGGTTACGATGGATCATACAATTTAATATCGTTTTTGATGAATATATTTGCCACCTAATTTACATAGATACCTTTCATGGATAATACAAATGTGTACACCTGCGGTGTTGCGTTTGTATCTTCAACCTTAAAATCACAGTTCACACGAATTTTATGTTTAAAAGGAGGCCTTTATCAAGTGATGACGACTCAGGTTTAAGTGAAAATTTCAATAAAAATTGTCATGATTCACCATTTTCTTTTCATTTTTACTCCTTTTGGTATGGTATGGATATATGGGCAGGTGAAAATATGCAATAGTTATGACAGGTATATACACAGGTGGATTTTGTGTGGCCTTGCATTACCACATTAAGAATTAAAAGACAAAGAAATGATTTTACTTAATTCAATAAAAAATACAGTAAAACACTAATATTTTCTTCTCGTAACATAATCTGAAGTTTATATAAGCTGGAACAGGTCTGCAAAAATGACCCTTGCCCAGAAATAATGTATAAATATTTTCCCCTGAAACTTACAATTTTAAGAGATAGTGTTAATGTTATTTAGTAATAGAAAAAATTACAAAAAAAATGTTTTCCAGCATTGTGCCTAAATTGTGTAAATATTTTATTTTATTTATTTATGCTTTTATTTTAATCATTGAAAGCATCTGACGGATTTTGCAGTAAGTTTCAGGATAAGTTTGAAAGTATATTTTTACAAATGTTTGTAATTGTATTGCAGAAAACGTACATACAGGTCTGGTCATATTTTTATTCCGATACAAAGTTAGTAAATTATATAAATATTTCACCAGTCTCCCCTAATAATTCTGACCCCACCCCCATATCATTTGTATAACTTTATGCCAGCGATATAAGGGAATAAAAAAACGCCATAAGTGCACAAAAGCTGCGGTTCTAAGCTCTCCTCGACTATTGGTTTATTGTCTCTGCCTTGCATTAGGAATTTGGGAACAACGTACGTCTAAGATACGTACATACGGAAGAAAGAATACTGGACAATAATTACGGTTTTGATTTATTGCGATGGCATAAAGACTATAAGCCACGGCCTGGAATTGACAGCAGTGTTGCCATACGTACAGTAATTACCCTATTTGTGCGATATTTTTTTACAAGAATGATAAAGAGGTTTTGAGACCATACTAAAGCATTCCAACTTTATTACAAATTATTTATAACCTTTAGTAAAAACAAAAACGGTATTCTAAAATAAAATGAGTGGTCTTAAGCAAAATAATGAATTATTTTCAAGTGCTTATTAAATAAAGCCTATTTTTAATTAATAAAGTGTTCAAATAAACCACCTCCTTGAGCTTCATAATCCTAATCTGTCGGAAAATTCTTGAGGAACATTTGACAAAATTTTAGGAGTAACTGATCCTAAAATATTTCTAATTTTAAGCCGTAATTCATCCAAATTTGCAGCTCTTTCATGTCGATGTTTGTAGAGAAGTTGTGTTAAATGACCCCATAAAAAGAAGTCGCAGGGTGTCAGATCTGGAGATCGAGAAGGTCAAGGTATGATACCTCTTGTGGAAATAAACCTTTCAGGAAAAATTTGTTCCAAATAATCTTGAATTGGCCTTGCGTTGCGTTCAGGACATCCGTCTTGCTGAAACCAAATTTCCTCAAAATTTACATCCAAGTTTCGTACAGCTGGTACAACACCTTTTTGTAATAAATAAATATCACTCAGCATTTAAGTTACCATCAATAAAAAAGGAACCCACAATATTATCATCTAAAATGCCAGCCCAAACATTTACCTTTTGAGGGTACTGCGTTCTTAATACTTGTTTTCCCGGGACCAATATTGGACCACTGAAGGATTATGACGGCCAAGTAGGGAAAAATATGATTCGTCTGTAAATAAAATCTGCCTAGCAAATTCATTATTTTCATCTATTTTTTTCTCTAATGGAGTCACAAAACTCCTTACGCCTTATTTGATCACCAGGAATAATTTCTTGAGAAGTTTGCATTTTATAGGCTTTTTAACCATTCTTTTTTAAGATGCGATGAACTGTAAGACTTGGAATGTCAAGTTCTTCGAAAATTTGGAAGGAAGAACACAGCTCACTTAATTCCACAAAAGCACAGGCATTAACTTCTTTTTCTCTCCTTGCTTCAGGAATTTGACGAGGTTCCTGATTGCTGCATTTCGTACACCGATTAACACATCCACAATTCTCAAACTTATGAAAAATATTCAAAACAGTTCTAGCAGTGGGGACTGGTTCGTCGGAGTATGGAAATATAAATCGACCAACGATTTCCTCTGCACTTTCTGCACAATACCATTTAATAGTAAATAATTTTTTGTTCAACACTGTACGCCATTTTTATTTTGTAATATTCCGTCTACTTCTTACCAAATGTTTGAGTGGAATAATAATAAAAATAAAACTAAGCAAAGAGCTTTAGGTATTCGATCGGTTCACAAAAAAATGCAACGGGGCACGTGCGCTCCCACAGCCAACCAATTACGAGAGTCCGAGTCGCAGCCTCGATGATATGTCATGTCCGACACCTTCCACCTGAAGTTGATAGGGGAGATGCATGTAATTTACTGTCTATGCGAAAGAATTACCTGGCCAGACCGGTATGATGTACTCATGCATACATAGGACTAAATAACATGAAAAAAAAAAAACAAGGCATTGATCACATGAAACTATAAAATAATGAGTAAAAAATAAATTAAAGTATTACCAACATGATTAAAGATATGAAACATTTTTTTTACGTCATTAATTGATTGTGAATTAACTATGATTCAATACTCGCATAGTTAACAACCATTTGGTAGATTAGTGAGCAGAACAATTAAATATTGCAGTTTATTTTTACTCCAGTCGGGTTAGACAAAAAAAGGGCTTAACCAGGGAAAAATTAGGGACCACAATTTTATTGTTCTAACTTTTAGGGGGGGCGGTCAATAGTAGTGTAAATTCGGAATCGCGACTGAATTCCACCCCTGCGTCAGCCGTCATCTTGAATTTAAGGAAAAATCGTTTTTGCTCAATGTCTCGGCCATTTTCAACTTTACAACAAAAGTGGTAAGGACTTAAGTTGTTGAAAATGCGATTTCCTACAACTTCTTTTATTACAAATTTTATCGTGCGATCGATATTTTTCAAGTTAAGGGGGAAAATAGTGACAAAGTATAATTATTGAATTATCCCGTTTGTTATTGACTAAACGACATAAATGTACATAAACAAAGTTGGAAATAATTATATTTTCTACAATTTGGATCTCTTTGATTTTTTCGCTACTACCAACATTATTATATTTTAGTATATATGGAGATCTAAGCATCAACAGATATTTTTTAAATCAGATGCATTTATTTGCAAGTTGGCTCAAGAAATTTTTTACGAACAATTTAACATAAAGAGCCTAGTTAGAAGGCAAGCAATGCACTTCATTTGTAAATGGGTAAATTAAAGTCCTTTTTAATTTACCCCCTTACATCTACCATCATTTAGTTTTAGTATTACAATAGATCAAGAAGTTAATAGATTTTATTACTTTTCTTTGCAAAATTATTAATAACAAATAGCCCAGTCGGGTTGTCATTTAACCGGGAAAAAATTAGGGACCACAATTTTATTATTCTAACCTTTAGGGGGGGTCAATAGTAGTGTAAATTCATAATCGCGACTGAATTCCACCCTTGCGTCAGCCGCCATCTTGAATTTAAAGAAAAATCGTTTTTACTCGATATCTCGCCCATTTTCAACTTTACAACATAATAATTTATTCATTTAAAATGGTATGAGAAGCTGCCACTGAGAGTTGAAAATCAAAACTCATATAAGCATTTGAAATGACATTTTCAATGTATAAATTAAAAGGAAGTTTTTTGGATGAAATGTGTCGCCACTCATTTATTAAAATTAATAATAATGTCATTAATCACACAGTCGCAAGTTCAGATATTCCTATGACTTTATAAAAATAATGTCTTTATTTTTGATAAGGTAATTGTACTAAATATTGCATATCCAAATAACAAGAAAAAGACATCAAAATGTCAAAATACCAAAAAATGGTGACGTTTGGCTAAATGTCATTAAATGACATATTAAATAAAATTTTATGTGAAACACAGCAGAATGCATATATGAATGGTCAGTGTTACTCAATGTCTAAGCCTTCAATCATGTCACACTGGTAGAGAGCAATCTGCAATTTCGCAGGTACTCTCGCCAATTAGATAAACCGATTTATATGTGTGTGTGATTTTATGGGAAGTAACTACTATATACCCAGACCAAATATATCAATATTTTGATATATATATACTAACTGCAACCATAGTGATTCATATTATCAAAATATTATGACGAGTGAAAAACAATATTTTGTTTATATATAAATAATGACATTGTGAACAAAAACTCCCAAAATGATTAGTCATAACTTTTATATTGTAATACTGGCCAAAGCGCTTCAGATGATCTAGTAAAATGCATTTATTATAATAATTGTATTATTATTATTATTATTGTAGAAACACATCTATTCAAAACGTCTTTTAATTCTTTTAACTGAATTATACTAGATTCTAGTTTATCTTAACATTTTTAACATTTCATGGGACATAGCCAGCTTACATTATACACTTTGCTTTTAAATCCCAACTCTTATCATGTCTCCAAGTGTGCCGAGGTTTAGTTATAACTATTTGTATTTCTCTGCATATGTTCATTATATCATTAGGTTTAAAAAAATTCTAAATTTATTTTCTCTAAATCTTTCTTGTGGTGTATTTTTTGTATGACTACATGTGGAAGTGTAAATCTTAAGAATGTTTCTGTTTTAGATGGTTTCAACCCACCCCAGAGGCATGATTGGCAAAATACTTCTCAGAGACCCACATCAATGAATTCACAAGACGCACCAAAAATGTCACACAGAATAAGAGATCTTTTTGTTAGGAAGAAGCGCCATACCTCACAGATGTAGTGAAGTCCGCTTCTTGTTAGTTAGGTACCTATAGTATTATGTTTGTGAAAATTATATTGTTTATACTGTAGTTTTTGTAAATAGAAAGTATATATAATACCAAATTTATATTAAAATAGTATTTCTCATAATTTACTATACATATTTGTATTAATTTTTATTATTGCAAAATATATTTAAGTTATTATATTTGTTTTATTGAATTTTATATTTATAATAATTATCATTTCATACCATCCACCAGTACGTCCAAATCCTTTAATTTTTTTTTGTACAGGGGACAATTAGGGTTGCCTACTTTTCCAAACTAAAATAAGGAACACGATATACATTGATATTTAAGGCTTCTATCTGGGGTTGTCATCTTTTGGAAATGCCAGCCGAGACACTTCTGATTATGCAATGCAATGTCGTAACAAAATTTTGATCAGCAAATTGTGCAAAATTATTTTTTATATCAAATTCAATCAAATTTTTTATTCGTAATTTGAGCACTTTCCAAAATTACACAATCAAGTCAAATAAAAAATAAATGACTTGCATCTTTTTTTGAAGTATATATCTTAGAAATAATTCCAGGGGTTCGGAATAAGTTTTAACAATTTTGATTGTTATTAATCTTAAGAGCAGTTTCAATGATTTTAACGACATTAAAAAATTCCCCCTGGGTTTGTGAAGACCCTGTATTGTTCTGTATATGATTATAATTAATTTTGTAACAATAAATACATGTTTTAATTCTGTTTGTTCCAAGTTCGTAATTTTTTTGTCTATTACTTCTGTACATAATGGTAGTAATGAACTGGGGCGGCCTCAGCCTGGCAATTAGGTCACAAATGGGTCGTTTTTGCCTTAGTAGTTAAATTTTTGTCCTGTTTTTCATTATAATTATTATTATGTTGACACACATTCCAAAAATCCATTTCGAAAGCTGGTGAATCTAGTACCTCATCATAAATTATGCAGTGAAATTAAAAATTTTAATATATTTAAGTTACTGGTGAAATTAAAAAGGATATTAAAAACAGTTCCATGAAAACAGGCACACCATATGTTTTGTTTAAGTGTTCAGTTTTATTTCTTTTCTTTTTGTTGTATGGCTCAAATTGCCCTAAAATTGTAGGCAATGTCAACAATAAGACATACCCTCTTGTCCTGTATATCTAATGAATACCAATGGAGCGACAGAGAAGAGTTACTTAAATAAGAAGTTTTCTGTAATAACATATCTATACATAGTCCAGTATGTCACAAGATTGACAACAAAGGCTTATGATAGGAAGACATTTTTTTTAAATAAAATAAAAATTTATTGTACAGATTGTGTGAACTTAAAAATGATTGTAATCGCTATTGTGAAAGTATAATTATAATACTAATTTAAAGTTCTGATAAAAAAATTAAAAATATCTCTTAAAATTACTTAAGGACGGGATTTTGTACAAAAAATATCGCCCAGCGTGAGTCACGAAACGGGACCCCGGCAGATGCTGCTCTAGCGGCCAACGCTTCAAGTCTAATAATTTACACTGCAACCATATTCGCCCGATTTTTCAGGAACGGCTCCAATTTGTGTACATACTATGTTATAAGGAAAGAGAGTAAATATTTTATTAATCAGTAATAGATTATCGAGGACAATAATATTTTTTTTATTGAGTAGGCAATAATTTTTAGTTAATAAGCTTAAACAATCTTATAATTACTATTCCTTCATTATAAAAACAGAAATACGGTTTTTAAAATTACATGTAGTTTCTTCTTCAAAAGTGACGTTAAAACATGTATAACATGGAATAGTCAACAGTCTAATGTTTATATTTTCACATTAACAATGCGATAATGTAAATTAACTGCTATTTTCAGTAAAAAAAATATATACCTAACCTGAATTATTTTTTTACTTTGGCGAGTCGTATTAACTTAAAAACACTGCTTAATTACTAAAATATATAGAAACTTGCTACTAATTACGTTTGGAGAATAATATGTATAGGCATAAAATATATATATAATATTACTGTATGTATTTAGTCCATTGAAATGAAGGCTGAACCTCCATTTTTTCCTCTGTCGATCAAACCTGGGCGCAAATATGTTTTCGACCCTCAGGAATCCGAATCCGCAAAAATTTTTGACCTAGGTGATCAGGCAAGGGGTCAAAAGGTCAAAAACCCGTAAAAATAAGGTTTTTCGCAAATATCGTAAACTACGGCAAGTAGCAAAAAAATAATTGCACCATCGTGTTCCCAGGGAAATTTTACATCGATTTTATGCTATTGCTTATTAAAATTAAATAAATTTATGTCATGTTTTGGACAATTACCAAGCAATATAATGCGATTTCAAATATAATTAGCCTGCAGTTATAGTGGATCTGAATTCAATTGCCAGATACACTATTTTTTTTGCTACTTACTTTAATTTTTAAATGGAAAACCAAAAATAATACTAATGAAGAACAGAAAAAAAACTTTTTTAGAACGAAATACTTATTGCAAAAATGAAATATAGTGCTCTGAAAAATCGACTTGTAAAGCTTATTCTACAAATACTAAAAAAGTCAAAATTTGTATAAACAATTGTTCCCAGAATGACAACTTTTTATTTCTAAATTTTGAAGACTTTTGAAGAATTGAATAATGAATAAAATAAGCCTAGTAGTCCGGGCGAATTAGGTTTTTTTTCAAAAATCGGGCCTAAATCTAATCTAAATAAATTTTAGTGTCATCTAGACACTTGAAGGAACACAGGAAAATTTGGAAAATAATTTTTAACTTGACTTTTGTTAAAGTTATTCAATTGTTAATGAACTAATTTTTCGTGGACTTAATCTTTCATAAAATTTGTTGTAAAAGTTTAAATAATGTATCTAAAAATTTTTTTCTTTCTCGAAGGTCTTTTTATATACATAATAAACAAGATTCCGTTGTAAAAGTTTATAACAGTTTTATCATTTGTTTATAATGATTTTTAAAGTTAACAAAAAATGAAAAATCCGGGAAATGTTATAAATTTTTTTTTTACCAAATGTTTGATTTTACTTGTTTTTCTATTAATATATTGCGTTTATTAACTTAGCTATAACAAATTTATAAACAAATGGACAAGTTTAATATTTTTGAAACATTTTTTTGCTATTTTATTGTCTTGGTAAAATAATGATTTTTAAAAACAAAAATTTTTCTTGAATAAATTTTTTAATTGTTTATAATCGTTTTTTTGATTTATTTGTCATTTAAATTATTTATTAAGAATTTTTTTTTAAATCATCATTTGCTATTATCAATATAATTACAAAAAAAAAATTATTCAAATTTTCATTGTTTATTTTATAACTCAAAAGTTCATTGTATTCCGTAAATATCTTCCAGGCTGCACAATTGGTTAAAATTTTGAGTTTCTGCTCTTACAAAAGTTAAGTGTTTAATTAAAAATAGACAAAATTGAAGAAAACAACAAGAAGAATATAAAATATTGACATTAGTTAGAAAAAAAGTACAGAAAATCCAGAAAATGTACCCTTAATCGTGTGATAATTTAAACAAATAAAAAAACATCGTAAACAAATGGAATAAAAAATATAAAAAAATTTTTATTGAGTAGTCCAGTAGTTACTCTATAAAATTGTCTTAAATAGTGGAATCCGTAACTTCAATAGTTTAAAAGTTTTAGTCATTTAAAGAATTAGATAATGCATTTTTTTATATACAAATGTTTATAAAAATATAACCATTGTAGATATGAAGCAGGTAAAAAAATTCATGTTATAGATCAATAAATTATCTAAAAGATCTACCTGAATGTCAAAGACCGTATCATCAATAATTTAGAAATTATAACAATTTATAAGTTTATCAAATAGGTGACCGTTTCAGCTTTGATGTGATAAAGTATTTAAAAATGCAATAAAAATTAGAAAAAAATGTTATTTACCACTTTGATGCACATAGCTGTATTTATAATTCGTTAAAGTTACGAAAAAAAAATAAAATGAAAATCAGAATTTGTTTATAACAAATTGTTTATAAAATAAACAATGAAAATTTGAATAAATTTTTTTTTTTAAATTATATTGATAATAGCAAATGATGATTTAAAAAAAAATGATTTCTTAATAAATAATTTAAATGACAAATAAATATAAAAATCGATTATAAACAATTAAAAAATTTATTTAAGAAAAATTTTTGTTTTTAAAAATCATTAATTTACCAAGACAATAAAATGGCAAAAAAATGTTTCAAAAATATTAAACTTGTCCATTTGTTTATAACAAATTTATAAACAAATAACGTTAAAATTTTTTTAGCTAAGTTAATAAACGCAATATATTAATAGAAAAACAAGTAAAATCAAACATTTGGTAAAAAAAAATTTTTATAACATTTCCCGGATTTTTCATTTTTTGTTAACTTTAAAAAATCATTATAAACAAATGAAAAAACTTTTATAAACTTTTACAACGGAATCTTGTTTATTATGTATATAAAAAGACCTCCCAGAAAGAAAAAAAATTTTAGATACATTATTTAAAGTTTTACAACAAGTTTTATGAAAGATTAGGACCACGAAAAATTAGTTCATTAACAATTGAATAACTTTAACATAAGTCAAGTTAAAAATTATTTTCCAACTGGGCTGTGTTCCTTCAAGTGTCTAGATGACACTATAATTTATTTAGATTTTTAAATTAATATTGAATACTATAAAAAAATTATTTTGTGTTGCACACTTTGCTTGGCGGCGACGCGACGACGCGGAAACCGCCGCCGCCGCGCGGAGCTATATTTTCAACGTCAAATTAAAATTATAAATAATGGAGCTACAATTCCTGACTTATTTTGCTGAAATTTTCTCCTCTTTCAGGATCTTTTTTGAAATTTCAGCTATCTTCAATATTTTTTTAGTTATAGTTAAAAAACGGAGACTCCCTTTTTTCTCTTCGTTTTTTGTTTATAACAATTGCTATTTTTAATTGCGGATAAATTAAAAAATACTTCTTTCTCTGAATTTAATTCCGAATCCAATGTACTAACAACCATATTTTTAGGATTACAATAACTATTTTTCGCAAAAAAAACTCACTTCTCGACTAGACTAGTGGTTTCCTTCTTATCGGTAAGTAGCTACTGATTTGTAGATTGAAACAGAAATCTACCTGAGCCAGACCAATTTTTAAGCTGTAAATTTATTTTGAAACTACCAAGGCTACAATATAAATAACGATTTTATGTGGGACACCCTGTACGTAAAATTTAATCTTTATTCTTAATAAAGAAAAATTAGTACATATTATTGGTTTTTTATGCGTTATATTTTCGTACTACTTAAGCTTTACAAAATCTTATTACTTAGGTACCTACCTACTTTTAAAATATTACCCATATTTATATATCAAAGATAATATCAGACCATTATGGGTCCCATATTCTGTAAATAGTGTTTTCCGCAAAGACAAATAATTTCAAACATTTAATAACTGAATAATCTAAAGCTTATCAAATAATAGGAATGTTATGTCATGCCACCTGAGTATTTTCAAAGACGCCGGCCGCAGTAAAACGAATAAACAGGTGCAAAAAACGATCAAACCATTAAGGTTTTAGGTACTGAAATCTACGAAAATACTATCTTTTTTATATATAATTCCACATGTAAATATTCTTATAACATTTACTTGCTTAGTCCTACATATAAAATTGTTTACTTTTTATAAGTACGTGAAAATAATTGTTAAAATGTGGGGTTAGGATAATAGCAAACGCATGTTTTGCAAACGCTTTTTTTTAGTTATTATTTTATTTGGGTAAATTTAAACGGTAACCATGAATAAACAAAACATCAAGGATTTTATTTTTGTGCTTACCCCTACTTTTGTTCTACACGTTTTACTTTTAAAGATTTCAGTACCTAAAAACGCCAGAAATTTCACTATTTCTCGGCCAATACAATTTACAATAAACCAACTCTGTGTTTTCGCTTTCATTTTCAAGGGTAGCGACACCTGTGACAGAGTACACAAACTAATTTTATTTAGAAATTCTTGTAGAAGATAGAAACCGCTAAAATTCTGGTTTAAATATATAATATAATATAATATAACATGGAGTCGTGTGTAAAATGTTGTCATCTTACTTGAGGACACAAATTATAGAATTGTTAATAAATATTAATCTGAAAATTAAATACAAATGATCCTAAGTGTCCGTTCTAGTGAGTGAAGTAGTTTGGTTATTGTGCCTGACCTAGTTCCGTCGTAAATCCAATATATTGGCAGACTAACAGTATGGTTAAAATTGAGGTACTTTGGCATTTATTTAAATTATTCTTCTGTTCTCATGAGCATTGACATTTATTTCACTCACTAGCGGGAACCATTGCGAATACATTGATATATAATAATATTCAATTATGTTAGTTTCTTCGACGATTTGTGTCCTCATCTGAAGCTCTGTTACATGGTAAAAATATACATACTAAATCGCCCCCTTAAGGAACACTACAAGATTTTACCAAGAGCACGAAAATCTCGAGATAGGACTGATGTATCAATAAAAAAAAATGGATGTATTCTAATGACCAAATAAAAAGTTCTGGTAATTCTTGTACTAACACTCAAGAATTTGTCACTAGCCCAAGGCGAATGGACACGGTTGCTTCATGAGTCCTACTTATGAACAAGTTCACAGTAAGTTTTATTAAAATCCATCGTAATATTCTCCAGATACTACAAAAAACATAATTTTTTCCAAAAACTTTGACAATCAATAGCAGAGGAGCCAGACATTTTTTGTTAGGAAGTTAGGTCAGATTGTCTTCTTTTGAGCCAAATAATGTCGCAGTACCTTTTTGGTCAGGTGCTTATGGGACACCATGTATATACAGTGTGGACCATTTTGGTGATGCATATACATGCTTACATCTTGAAAACTATAAGGGATAGGAAAATGGTTAAATGGCAAAAGTTTTAGACAATTCTGTTGCTAACTTAATGGCGCTTGCAGACCGGTCCTAGCTCTTCAGGCATTTGAGTTATTTTGAAAAAAGTAAATATAGCGTTTTAGAAAATCGTCTGACTTTTTTATTTAGAGGAATTTTTAAAATCTGAAAACACTTTTGCATAGCAAGTTTTTCGAGGAATTTCACTGTATGTAGGTATATTTAGATTTTCATTATGACGTTTCGACTGCAAGAAACCATCAACTTTCTTAAAACTCAATGTGGCGCCCATAAGAAAAAAGAAAGTTGATGATGGTTTCTCGCAACAAAAACGTCACAATGAAAATCTAAATATTCACATGTAATGAATCCATAAGAAGCCATTTTTCTCAAAATCTCTTATTCAGATTCCGACAGACCGATCTTATGTTTCGGTCTGTCAAAGCATAAAGCAGCGCACAGCACATTCATTTCTTTCATTCATTACGTCTGTTCAACGAAACAGCTTAGTATATAATGATTCGGATCGAATCTGAAACAGTTCGCGAACTACTACGATTGCGATGCGGACATGAGAAGGCAGGCGCACGGAATATAAAAGCGCATCTATAATTCCTAGGATAAGGGGTTTTAGTTAGAAAATCGAAAACCTTGCCAGCCATTCCTAGGAAAAAAAGTCTAATGAACATATTTTGTAGGAAATTCCAGCGACAAAACAGATTATTGTACTTTAAATTCTTAATACTGTGGATATAAACAAAGGCAGGAGAGGTACTTTAGATCGTTTTGTCTGATTGGATGAATATTTACAAAAAACCTATTATACATTAGACTATTTTGCCTTAGTTTAGATCATTAGATTTTTTAGACTAGAAGTAAATGAAAAAGCGTGTTATTAAAAAACATGCAACAGCTATTAGATTCAGCGCTAATGTAAAACAATGCAACCCGCTCGTAAATATTACTAATTTGAAATGATTAATTTTTAAAACGCAGTGGTACATTTGCTAGCTTATTTCACTACTCCACCCTCTAAATGTAAACGAATCTGCATGCACATTTGACCGAGACTGAACGATCGCAAACGTGCCTGGCAACGGGAGAACGAGAGATGCTTTTGCTAGTGACTCACGTCGTCGAACATCTAAAGTAGTTAGCGAACTAGATTTAAGAACTAGTTCTCGAGAACTAGTTCTCCGAAATGAACTATTAAGCCCATCACTAATACCAATGGTTAAAGTCCTAATCATAAAAAGTTAATCATCCTGTATACATATTGATATAGTCGTATGCTCATCAGGAAAAGTTATGTCTATTACGGTTTGTAGTTTATCATTATCACTTTTTTTAGTCTAAAAGTTGAAAGCCATTAATTTAACTGATAAATTACCAAATTCACTGTAACATAAAAAGATGACACAAATATAGCGAATCATGATAATTTTTTGGATAAAAAATTGGTAAAAGTAAATCAGGTTTAAACAGACTGCGTTTAACTTCAGCTCTGTCTCATATTATTGACAATATAATAAAAGGGACATTTCCACTCTGTAATAACTATTTATAAAAATCTAAAGCTATAATTTTTAAATTCAAGGAATAATTTAATTAATTGTACCTTTAAACTGTTGAAAGACGAATCGGGTCTAGAATTCCCATTTATTGAGTTATATTTATGTACTACAGCTCAAATTGGATTTTATGTCTTAAAAGTGTTTTTGTTGTTACCATCAAAAATTAACAGTAAAGCTTATAAGGGACTTAAATTATAATACAAAATATTCTAAATCACTAAATATATTTACTAGTTACATAGAAGAACGCCACTTATTGGTATGAATCAATGACTGCTGGACGCTGTGGAATATCACTATAGGTTTCCAATAAACCGGCGGCTTTTCCAAATATAAGGGTTCCTACAAAAGCGCCAATGCCGATGGCTAAGTGTGCCATATATTTACGTTGATTGGCATCATACTGAGTTTTCCAACTGCCCTGGGGTTGAGGAAGATCATTGTATGTACTCTGAACTGGTGCGTGAGCATCATGTGCATTTCTTTTGCCAACGACTGAAATACCAGATACAATAACAGATTTTTATACCCAAAAAAATTACTTTGTGAGAATGAAATTTAATTACATTAAATGCACTTGTTAGTTCTAATCACCATCTACTCCCTTTTTAGAGTAGGTATAAATACTTATTTCTATGTGATGAAAATATTAAAGTACAATTATATTACTTACTCTGTCTCAACATAACTCGACCCAACGCCTTTGAAGAATTCATTTTTACTCCAAATTATTATGCAAGGGAACCAGGAAAATGGAAAATCCTTCCTGAAATGTTATGCAACTCGCCAGAAAACAGAAACCAGAAACTGAAACCAAACCAGTGAATAAAGAAATGAAAGAAATGATTAATACTACTACCACAAAACATATAATCAGGGATAGTTGGCAGTTTACTTTTCTAGTTTTGTCAGGACTGAGCTAGGTATGTGCTTTAGTGCGGCAACGCGTTGATAGGTGGACCGATGATTTAAATTGTAATACACAAAATAGAAAACCATGCAGTTCACTCAGTTCAGCGATTCTCGGTGTAAGCTAGGTTAAGTATTAGGCTGGAGCGCGCCATTATTCCATGGCTAGAAATTGGCCTCAATGATTTGGGATCGAGGGGGATTATCCCTCTTTATCCTGCCTCATCTCGTGTAGGCCTTGACAGCCTTCGTAGGTGGGCCCCATCCGTCGTCTTCCCCGACCGCAAATGCGGCCGGTGTAGGCGCTTTGTGGGACCTCCTTTTGTCCTGGCTGGGCCCCGCCGGCTAGGGCCCTTTCTTCTGGCGCTCTTCTTGCTTCGCCGGCTCGTCTGTGTAAACCCCGGGGGTAGTGTCATGTTTATGTGTGGTATGGTTGGGTAGGNCCGATTTTTCAGGAACGGCTCCAATTTGTGTACATACAATCTTATAAGGAAAGAGAGTAAATATTTTATTAATCAGTAATAGATTATCGAGGACAATAATATTTTTTTATTGAGTAGGCAATAATTTTTAGTTAATAAGCTTAAACAATCTTATAATTACTATTCCTTCATTATAAAAACAGAAATACGGTTTTTAAAATTACATGTAGTTTCTTCTTCAAAAGTGACCTTAAAACACGTATAACATGGAATAGTCAACAGTCTAATGTTTATATTTTCACATTAACAATGCGATAATGTAAATTAACTGCTATTTTCAGTAAAAAAAATATATACCTAACCTGAATTATATTTTTTACTTTGGCGAGTCGTATTAACTTAAAAACACTGCTTAATTACTAAAATATATAGAAACTTGTTACTAAATACGTTTGGAGAATAATATGTATAGGCATAAAATATATAAATAAGATATTACTGTATGTATGTATTTAGTCCATTGAAATGAAGGCTGAACCTCCATTTTTTCCTGTCGATCAAACCTGGGCACAAATATGTTTTCGACCGACCCTCAGGAATCCGAATCCGCAAAAATTTTTGACCTAGGTGATCAGGCAAGGGGTCAAAAGGACAAAAACCCGTAAAAAATAAGGTTTTTATCCTTTTATCTCGTAAACTACGGCAAGTAGCAAAAAAATAATTGCACTATCGTGTTCCCAGGGAAATTTTACATCGATTTTATGCTATTGCTTATTAAAATTAAATAAATTTATGTCATGTTTGGGACAATTACTAAGCAAGAGAGGGGAAGGCATTTGGGGAGTACGTGCACGCTACATGTATCGGTTGACTCGAAGCTCTAGCAGGTGCGATTGTTTCGAATATAATGCGATTTCAAATATAATTAGCCTGCAGTTATAGTGGATCTGAATTCAATTGCCAGATACACTATTTTTTTTGCTACTTACTTTAATTTTTAAATGGAAAACCAAAAATAATACTAATGAAGAACAGAAAAAAAACTTTTTTAGAACGAAATACTTATTGCAAAAATGAAATATAGTGCTCTGAAAAATCGACTTGTAAAGCTTATTCTACAAATACT